CATTGGGATTAAATGCACAAGACAGTATTTCTTGTTGGGATTCAGATGTTTATTAGTTCTTGTTTATGTTTGTCTGGGTTTGAAAAGCCAGATTTGGAAAGCAGGAGCCTTTCTTGCAATGGAAAATGTAAACCTCCTCTCTCTGAATTATTATGATTTTTAAATTAAGGGGCTCTCAGGCAAAGATAAGAGAATAGGAATAACAGTTCTTTAGTAGGAAAATTAAAAAATACAAATGCAATAGTACAAAAAAACCAGAAAACAAACCACTGCCAGAGCCAGAACAGGCCCTGACCCCCTGTGGGTCAGGGTGGTGGCAGCAGTGCCATTCAATGGTGGCTCAGCCCTCCTGCAGAATAGGAGTAACAGTTCTTTATTGGGAAAATTAAAAATACAAATGCAATAGTACAAAAACAGAAAACAAACCCCTGCCAGAGCCAGACCATGCCCTGCCCCCTGTGTGTCAGGGGGTGTCCCAGCCCCATCCCAGGGGGGCTCAGCCCTCCTGCAGTGCCAGCTGTGGCTCTGCTGCAGCAGGGATCCTGCACAAGGGGGGAGTTTTCCTCTGCAGCTCCAGGGCTGCTGCAGATGGGCCTGGGCTCCCTCTGGCCATGCAGGGCAGCAGAAAGCTGCTCCTCTGGCAATGCAGGGGGCAAAGGCTGCTGTGCTGTGCCAGGCTCAGATTGGATCCAGGGAGGAATGCTTGGCTCCTCCCCTGGGCGGAGCATCTCCCCATGGGATGCTGGGATGGGATCAGCCCTGCAGGGACACTCAGTGGCCATGGACAGCAGAGATCTCCTGGAGGGAGGATTGGCTGGGGGAGAGATAAAGAAAAAACTGCCCCAAGGACAGCAGAGAACTGCCCCAGCTCTGACAGATGGGGACAGAGCACACACATGTCTTACAGACCAGGACAATGTCACAGTCTCACAGACCCGGAGTTCTGCAGCACTTCACTCCAACAAACTCAAAATGGAGCCCCAGCTCTCTCTCTACAAGGCCTTTTAGGATAAACTGTCCAATTAAGAAATGACACCTCAGTTATTTTCACTTTTAACCCAATAACCACCACCCATGGCTGCAATGGGGACTTTTTATCCAATTACACAAAACCACCCAAACCCATGGAGAAGAAGGAGCAGGAGAAGGAGCAGCCTCACCCTAAAATCTCCATCTTGCTTTTTATCTATTTCTATATTCTAAACCCCAAACTCTAAGTTTCCCACCCTGTGATATCACACACTTCTAATCAAACCCCACACCCACAATCCCAGTTCTGTCATTCCATTCTGGAAGCTTCTCCACAGCCTCAGGTCAGTGCAGTGTTCTCCTGGGGGTCAGAGCCTGGCAGCACAGAAAGTCTGGAATTCTCAGCATCCAGGGTTCCAGCAGTCAGGATTCAGCTGTGCTGAAAGCTGCAGCTGACATTTCAAGGATTCCTTGGTCTGAAGAGGCCACTGGCATTTGGCATTGGATCCTCTGAGCTCATGGACAAGGGGTTGTGGAGAAAGATGGAATTTTTTCAGTGTGGGGTGAGAGGATTTTGCTCTCAATCTTGTTTAGATCTGGCTTTTTTGAAAACACTTGAGTAGTTTGAAGATTCTCCAGTTGTTGTCTGTGAGAATTCAACGATTTCCTTTAGGAAGTTTGCTGGAGAAATAGGAGGAATGAATCCATGAAAGTTAAGCTTGAATTAAAGAATCTTATAAAAAATAATGAGAGGGGCTTTAAACAAGGGATGGAGGGACAGGACAGGGGGATGGCTTTAAACTGGGAGAGGGTTGATTTAAGTTGGATTTTGGGAAGGAATTCCTGGCTGGAGGGTGGGGAGGCCCTGGTATAAAATGCCCAGAGCAGCTGTGGCTGCCCCAGGATCCCTGGCAGTGCCAAGGCCAGGCTGGACATTGGGTTTGGACACCCTGGGACAGTGGAGGTGTCCCTGCCATGGCAGGGCTGGGATGGGATTTAAGGTCCTTCCAACCCAATCCAATCCAAGATTCTCTAAACTCAGGAATCTTCACTCACAGGGATCATTTATCAGCAGGATGTGTGAATCCAAGCAAAGCTGTAGCTGCAAGGAATCCCTAAACCAAGCCCAGTGTGAAATCTGTGCTAATTTTATGGAAATTGTGTTGCCTTTTCTCTTTTTCATTGGTTAAAAAAATACTACTGATGTTTATAAAAAGCCTCTTGACATTTGAAACTTCTCTACTACTGTTTTCCTGCCCCAGTGAAGTGTTTCTTCACATAATTCAACAAAAAGAAGCCCTTGAGGATTTACTTAAATCAGTCAGAGGTGGATTCCTGGGAGTTGGTTCCCTTTTTCCTTTGTATTTTGTAGTTATTTTCTGAAATGAAAGCCTGGCAGTCCCTGAGACATAAAGGTTGTGATAATTTCCTTTATAACACACTGGTTCTTCTTTTGCCAGTGACACTGTTCTCAGGGAAGCTGCCTCACAGCTCAGCAAATATAAACATCTGTTTTAAAAGAGGTTATTAAAAATATTAGCTGTGCTGCTACTTAAATAAACACATGAAGAATTCAATTTACATCAGTGCTTGAGTCCTCTTGGACTTGTCAAAATCATCTAAATTAAAGGGAGCAGGAGAGAGCTCTTCATGTTTGCTGGCTTGGACATCCCTGACTTTAATATAGGAGGGAATTTTACTGGGGAAACTTGAAACAAAAGTAAACATCCCAGAATAATTTGGGTTGCAAGGGACATTAAAGCTCATCCCATTCCACCCCTTCCACTATCCCAGGCTGCTCCCAGCCCTGTCCAGCCTGGCCTTGGGCACTGCCAGGGCTCCAGGGGCAGCCACAGCTGCTCTGGGCACCCTGCGCCAGGGCCTGCCCACCCTCACTGCTGGGAATTTCTTCCTCATATCCCATCTAAATATCCCTTTCTTCAGTTTAAAGCCATTCCCCTTTGTCCTTCCATGTCACAGGATGAAAAAAGTTAATAATATATAAAATAATGAAAGAGCTGCAGGGTTTGAGTGCAGGATTCTGAGGAGAGCATCCTCTGCTTGGAAATTCTCTTAAGGGGATTTATTATTTGTATAAATACAAACAGAATTTGCATCTCTGAAATTATTGCTTTTTAAATTTATAAACAATTATCCTTTTGTGTTAAAGTGGCAGAACATGCCCTGCTCATAATGGATTTTTTAGTAGATACTTTTTTTTTTCACCAAAAAAAATATATTTAGGATGTGCAAATGTGCACAACCACCCAACCTCCCCTCCTGAGCTCTGAGTCAGCTGAGTGGGTGTGCAGGCTCATATGCTCCATCCAGGTCCCTTGGGAATGAAATATTCCTCACAACCAGCCTGGGGAACGTGGGCTCCACTCCTTCCAGGCTCTGCAGTTCAGCAATCCTCACTCCTGTTGGGAGCCTTGTGCTGGGAGCAGCTGGATGGAAGCAAAGCTTGGAAAGTAAATTTTGAATTTACTCCATCCCTCCCTCGATCCTTGTGCTGCTTTCCTGGAGCTCTCTGAACTCATGGATCACCCTCAGGCCACCAGCTCTGGTGGTCTTCAAGAAATATCTGTGCCAGCCCTGCTCTCATGGTCTTCAAAAAGTATCTGTGCCTCACTGTTGGAGCTCTGGATGCTGAGAATTCCAGACTTTCTGTGCTGTCCAAGAGAACACTGCACTGACCTGAGGCTGTGGAGAAGCTTCCAGAATGGAATGACAGAACTGGGATTGTGGGTGCGGGGTTTGGATAGAAGTGTGTGATATCACAGGGTGGGAAACCCAGAGTTTGGGGTTTTAGAATATAGAAATATATACAAAGCAAGATGGAGGTCTAAGGGTTGAGGCTCCTTCTTCTTCACCTTCTTCTCCATGGGTTTGGGTGGTTTTGTGTAATTGGATAAAAAGTCCCCATTGCAGCCATGGGTGGTTGTTACTGGATTAAAAGTGAAAATAATTGAGGTGTCATTTCTTAATTGGACAGTTTATCCTTAAAAGGCCTTAGAGAGAGAGAGAGAGAGAGAGAGAGAGAGAGGCAGCCATTTTGTACTCTGTTAGTAGAACACTGTCTCTCTCTACAAGGCCTTTTAAGGATAAACTGTCCAAGTAAGAAATGACACCTGAATTATTTTCACTTTTAGCCCAATAACTCTGCTCCCCATCTCCCATCTCCATTAACTCACCTCCCAGCTTCGCTCCTTCCCTGGGCTTTCCATCACCACTTTTCCATCTCCTGGTGCTTCCTGGGCCTCTCCAGATGGAGCAACACCCCAGGGACAGATGGAAACCTGTTGGAACCCTGGATCCTGAGAGTTTTGGGCTTTCTGTGCTGCCAGGCTCTGACCCCCAGGAGAACACTGCACTGACCTGAGGCCCTGGAGAAGCTTCCAGAATGGAATGACAGAACTGGGATTGTGGGTGTGGGGTTTGGATAGGAGTGTGTGATATCACAGGGTGAGAAACTTGGAGTTTGGGGTTTTAGAATACAGAAGTATATACAAAGCAAGATGGAGGTTTTAGGGTGGCTGGTTTTTTTTTTCACCTTCTTCACCTTCTTCTCTCCATGGGTTTGGGTGGTTTTGTGTAATTGGATAAAAAAGTCCCCATTGCAGCCATGGGTGGTTGGTTATTGGGTTAAAAATGAGAATAATTGAGGTGTCATTTCTTAATTGGGCAGTTTATCCTTTAAAAGCCTTGTAGAGAGAGAGATGAGGCTCCATTTTTAGTTTGTTGGAGTGAAGTGCTGCAGAACTCAGGGTCTGTGAGACTGTGACAGAGATAAGAACTATCAAACATCTGAGCCTGAGCCTGAAGCATCATCTCGAGTGCCTTCAGTCCTGACCTTGACAGAGGTGGGAAAAAGAATCCAGACCCAGCACCTGAGCAAAGCTGAGCACAGGGAATCCAGCTGTGGGGAAGGGCTGGGATCCCGACCTGGGAATGTTTCCCCAAATTCTGTGCATCCCTCCAGAGCTCTCTGAACGTTCCTCATGTAACCCTGGCTGCTTCCTGTTTTTCAGGAGATGACTTCTCCCTGATCCAGCAGGAGATATATATGGTTAAGGAATGCAAACATTGCAACATAGTCGCCTATTTTGGGAGTTATCTCAGGTAAATCCCAGTTTTTATTTCAATATTCCTGCTGGTTCTCTCCTAAAACAATCCCAGTCTGGTTTAGTCCTGTATCCTCATTAAATCTTCCTCCAGAGGTTGAATTGCCCTTGGTTTTTTTGTTGTTTTTTTTTAAAGCCAACCCAATTGGCTTTAAAAACCAAAAGTGACTAATATTTTTTTTCTCTGCTGGCCAAAAGGCTGGAATATTTTTATCACTAGGAACAGAAAGAAACATTTCCCTTGGAGACTCTTGCAACATATCCAGTCCTACTCACACATTTATCAGTTCTAATATAAGAGCAGCTCATTATTTCTCTAGAGCAGAATTGCCTTTGGATATTTTATTTAATTATAGTTGTCTGGGCTATGAAACCATGGCAGGGGAGTTAAAAATCTGAGCTGCTGGAAATAACATTTCTCACAGTTCTGGTGTAACAGAGGCAGAACCAGGGTGGTGTCAGCTCCCTGCACCTTCCATTAGATACTATACAGGAAAATATTAAATATTATACAATAAATTTTATAAATTTATATTTCTACATTAAATATTATACAGGAAATCAGGGAATAGTCTCCATTTCTGTGCAACTCTGCCATTTATCAGTTGGCTCTGTGGGAATGTAAATCTGCATTTGCCTGCTTGGTCTTTTTTCTGTGAGACTTCAACTTTTTTTGGAGGGCTGCGTTTAAATAATCCCTGCAGCCCAAATGGACTCAATTGGAACTAAATTTCTAATTTCTAATTCTGAATTTAGAAGAGTTTTTTAGGTATAATGAGATAATTTCAATTTAAGATTGAAACACTGAGTTTAATGTGATGTTTAATGTAATTTTGCTGATAGCAGATAAATCTCAGGTGTTTTATTGTAGAGTTAAAGCACCACTTTTTATGTTTAATAATGTTTAAATATTTCTCAGAGACTTTGGCATAACACTTATGTTTTGATTGGTGAAAATTATATTTTTATATTTTAATGTCAATATTTTTTTATTGATAACATGAGAATTTATATTCATAACAGGAGAATTTGGATTAATAACAGTGTAACTGCTGGTCATGTATCAGAATGTGTATTTTTAACAGAGAGTGGTAAAGAATAATAGAAAATAATTTAAATTATGAAGTTCTGCATCCAGATCAGTCAGCTTCTGATGCCTGTGTTTGAATTCTGCTTTGCAGCCGTGAGAAGCTGTGGATATGCATGGAATACTGTGGTGGGGGATCCCTCCAGGACATCTACCACGGTACTTGGCCAATTATTTTCACTTTTTTTACTTTGGGAACCTTTCTGCAAAAAGAGAAATAAATAATAAACCTGCAGGGAACAGTTGGCACTGGATGTGGGGGCTTTTGGGGGGCAGCAAGTGCTTTTTAGCTACAGTCAGTAGATTTTGAGAGCACTTTCCAGATATGGTGAGCAGCATTTTTAATATTTATAATATTGACATTTTAATATTGACATAATATTTGACATTTAATATTTGACATTTTATGGCAGAACAGTTGGATATGGACACTGTGCATGGGGTGAGGAAGGAGTTTTCACTGGGAAATCTCCAAATTTGATCTTTAAAAGGAAAAACGACTTTTATTCCTCCCCCTGTGAAATACCATCTCACTTCTGTATTATTTTCCTTCCTGAAGTTTCATCTGGAGTTGTTGATGCTGTAGAATAATTTATTGGAGTTGTTGGAAAAACAGCTGGGGACTTGCTGTGCCTTTGAATGATAACACTGAGTTTTTGGATGCCTGAGCTCTTTCTGCTTTATTTTTCAGCTACTTAGTACCAAAAAACCCCAATTAAAAACAATTTTAAAAGAATTAAAACAATTTAAAACAATTCCAAGCCCCTGATATGAAACATTCCAATTTCTAATATTAAAATATTAGCAGATGTCACTTTTAGTTTCCTGATAACAGCAGAGTGCTACAAAATCACTCATAAAATAATAATTAGATGCAGTGAAAGCAGGTTTTCTTCTCACTGTGGGTATTGTTTTCTGTTTGGGGTTTTTTCACAGAAAGCCTTTCTGTAAAACAAGCAAACAAACCCCTCTTTTCAGCTCAGTGCACAATGCAGATCATGCAAAACCAGCCTTTAACTTTGGCATGGCCAAACCCCTCTTTGGCTGCTTCTCAGTGTTATTTATGTGCTCTGTGTGTAAAGTTAATTTTTGAATCTTTATTTCCAGTAACGGGACCTCTGTCAGAGCTGCAAATTGCTTATGTGTGCAGAGAAACTCTACAGGTACTGTACGTGCGCAGGTGCACAATAAAGTGTTTATTCCTTGGAAATAAAGCAGGCACAGAAAATTGGTGCAATTTCTGTTGGGAATCAAGCAGACACCAATTAACCAGGGGTAACCTGTTCATTTTCCATAATATAAATAAATAAAAATTACCAAGAAATTCTAGTGTGATATAGTGCAAATATTTGCCTAAATTTTGAACTGCCTGCCCACCCTGTGGTGGTAAATTTAATGATGTGTGGGGGTAAAATACAGCAGCCAGATAAATAAAATTCTCTTTCATTTCTTTGCTGATAGCAAAGAAATGCAAGAAGAAGCTTCTCTTATCTGCAAATCTCAAATGTCTCCATTTCCAAATCAAACAGATTGAGAAAATTAAATTTTTTAAACAGAATTGGCTTTGTGGGATGTTAACAAATGGCAGAATAATTCATTGTGTCTTTTATTTCCAGGGTCTTGCTTATTTACACATGAAGGGCAAAATGCACAGAGATATAAAGGTAACTTGGAACCCTGAGAAATTTATCTTACAGCTCCAAATGCAGGGAAAATATTCCTGATAAAGATTCTGAATTTATTTTGTTTTAGGGTGCAAACATTCTCCTAACAGACCATGGAGATGTAAAATTGGGTGAGTTTCCTGAGTTCTGTGATGTGGATTTGATTTAATTTCATTTATGGAGCCACGTGGAGGTGGCACCTGGGGACATGGGCAGTGCTGGGGGAGGGCTGGACTCCATCATTTAAAGGTTTTTCCCAAATAAATGATTCCATGATTATTTGGGGCAATAGATGGTGCTGGAAGGTGATGACAAAGTGTGTATCCATGGTAGGCTGTGGAGGAGATGAGAAATTCTGTATTTTATCAATAAATTGTAGATAATTTCATTATTCAACCACTGAGCCTTTAAAATCCCAGATTTCCTTGGAATTTGCCAGGCTGGCACTGCCTGGATGTCAGTTTTTATCCCTCAGAGCCTTTCAGGATCCTCTTTTTGGGGCAGCCTCTGCAAAAGTGGGATCTGCTCCTGGCTCTGGGTGTGGTGTTGGGCAATTCCACAAAGGTGGAGGAGAGGAAACTCCCAGGTCTGCAGGGAGAAGCTGCCATGGGGTGTCACCATCCCATGGATGCCACCATCCCATCGGTGTCACCATCCCATCGGTGTCACCATCCCATGGATGTCACCATCCCATGGATGCCACCATCCCATCGGTGTCACCATCCCATGGATGTCACCATCCCATCGGTGTCACCATCCCATGGATGCCACCATCCCATGGATGTCACCATCCCATCGGTGTCACCATCCCATGGATGTCACCATCCCATGGATGCCACCATCCCATCGGTGTCACCATCCCATCGGTGTCACCATCCCATGGATGCCACCATCCCATCGGTGTCACCATCCCATTGGTGTCACCATCCCATGGATGTCACCATCCCATGGATGTCACCATCCCATAGATGCCACCATCCCATGGATGCCACCATCCCCATCATCCCATGGATATCACCATCCCTACCATGGGTGTCACCATCCCATAGGTGTCAACATCCCTACCATGGGATGCCACCATGCCATGGATGTCACCATCCCATGGATGCCACCATCCCATAGATGCCATCATCCCATGGATGTCACCATCCCATGGATGCCACCATCTCATGGATGTCACCACCCCATAGGTGTCACCATCCCATGGATGCCACCATGCCATGGATGTCGCCATCCCATGGATGCCACCATCCCATGGATGTCACCATCCCATGGATGCCACCATCCCATAGGTGTCACCATCCTTACCATGGATGTCGCCATCCCATGGATGTCACCATCCCTGGATTCAGGGCAGCTGTGCCTTAGTTCAACCTCCAGCCTCCTGTGAGGAAGCAGGAATGCTGTGTTGGCAAAGGAGAGCTTTGGAAGCAGGAATGTTGGCAAAGGAGAGCTTTTAAAAAGGAAAAAATTGAGTAAAACCTGAAAAATTTGAGGAAAACCTGAAAAATTTGAGTAAAACCCCAACACTGAGAGGAGCTTGCAGTCCCTGCTTTAACCTTGGCATACACAGGGGAACCTCCTTTTGCCTGCTTGCATTTCCCCAAGTTATTCTCCCTCTTTCATGCCACCAATCAATCCAGATAAAATGGATTTAAATGGTTTTTGGCTCTGCAGGGCCACCTGATGTTTGGGGTTTCTGGGGACAAGGGATAACTGGCCCCTGGACAGAGTGTCCAGGGCAGGGAGCAGCTGCCCCATCAGTTCCTCCATAAACAACACACCAAAAGTGCCTTTTCCAAGGCATGATGCTGTTTTTCCTCTTAAATTGAACATCCAAAAATTCTGGTGGATGTATTGTGAGGTGGAAAAAATGATCTAAGAGAGGAACTGTGTGTAGAAAGAAAACTCTTTGATTTGAAGTCCTGTCTTTGAACACATTAGTGATCCTATTATCAATCTTCAGCTGTTTCCCTAATGAATTTTTAATTTGCATGAGACACATGATTGTTCTTTCTTATCACACTGTAAGATTGGGGTCTTCAGCTGTGGTTTCTGAGGCTCTGATGGTTTGATTTTATTTTCCAGCTGACTTTGGGGTAGCAGCAAAAATAACAGCCACTATTGCAAAGAGGAAATCCTTTATTGGCACCCCTTACTGGTAAGAAACCACTTTGCTTGCTGTGCTGCAAAGCTGAGCTGTATTTATGCCAAAAAATCCTCAAACACACACACACACGTCTGTAGAAATTGAATAAATTCCCTTTCTTCCAAGTAAAATGCCCACAGGGTAAAAATCTGGGAAGCACTGATTTGTTGCTGTAACAAAAGCTGCTTCAATTTGAGCAGGGTTGTTGTTTCTCCCACATTTATTTTTGCAGATTATTCTCCCTTTTTGGGGGATACCAATGGTTATTTAGTTTCTCAGCCTTACATTTTTAGTGACTAAAACACAGTGATGAAAAGTGATTTATGTGCAGAAAGGAAACCAGATTTCCAGACTATCTTTTAATTATCCCTACTGATTAATGTCTGCACGAGGCAGCATTTAATATGCAAATAATCATGTGCAAATAATCATATGCAAATAATGTGTCCAGAGGTGATCCAATTGCATCCCCCGCCTAAGATGCTTATAGAAATCCATAAGCAGCTTTTGAGTATTTGTGTCCCCACCTTGCTCTTTATTGTGACATTTTTGCTGTATTTTTGTTTGTTTTTATGATGTTCTATTCAGCACATTTTTTTTGTGCTCAGATATTTAAAAAGATTATACCCACTGTGGAAAAGGTACATTAATTGTCCTTAGATCCAAGATATTTCCAGAGCTTTAGGAAAAAAAAAAACAAATTCAAACCCCTGAAATACAAACTTTGTAGAATAGTATTGAAACAAATTGAATCATTATAATTGTATAGCTTAAATTGTCCTTAGATCCAAGGTATTTCCAGAGCTTTAGGAAAAAAATACCCAACAAATCCAAACCTCTGAAATACATACTTTTTAGAATAATGTTGAGACAAATTGAATCATCATGAGTGTATAGCTTAAATTAGTGAGTAATGATTTATGTACACATTAATAAAAGCTTTAAAAGTGTATAGGTTATAAATAGAATATTATAGTATTATAAATAGTATATTTATAGTATATAGTATATATATATACTATATATAAATAGTATATAAATAGTATATTTATAGTATAAAATACAGGTGTATAGGTATAAATTAGTGTGTAATATTTTATGTATATGTTAATAAAAACTTTTAAAGTATTAATTTAAATAAATATTAATACTAATTAATATTAAGTAATATTAATATAAATTAATAGTATATATTAATATAAAATCCATTATATTATATATTGCGTATTGTGTATTATTATATATGAATATAATTAATATTAACTTGATATTATTTTAATTAATATTTATTTAAACCCAATCTAAACATCAAATCTTTAACTCACCCCGTTAGACATATTCCTTCTGTTCATTTTACCCCACCCCCCCTTTTTTCTTTCTTGGTGGGGGAATATGAGATATTTTAAATTATAAATCACTGTCACAGACATCCAGTAATTACACATAAAAATATGTGTATTTTTTTTTATATGTATATATATGGAAATACAGATTGGATATTAGAAAAAGTTTTTTCCAGAAAGGGTGACAAAGTTCTGGAATGGCTGCTGGGGAGGTGGTGCAGTCCCCATCCCTGGGTGTGCTTAACAAAGCCTGGATGTGGCACTGGGTGCCAGGGCTGAGTTGAGCTGTTGGGGCTGGGTTGGACTCAATGATCCTGAAGGTCTCTCCCAACCCAGTGATTCTGCGAAGTTAATTTAATTTAATTAATATTTTATTTTATGTTATTTTAGAAAATAAAACTTCTTTTTCGTTTAATTTTATTTTAGTAATATTTCATGTATATTTTGAATGTACACGCCCAGTGTGTGGTTCTCCTTGGAGCAGGCCCTGAGGGAGGTGTTGGTTTTGCAGGATGGCCCCCGAGGTGGCGGCGGTGGAGAAGAACGGGGGGTACAACCAGCTGTGCGACATCTGGGCCGTGGGCATCACTGCCATCGAGCTGGCCGAGCTGCAGCCGCCCATGTTCGACCTGCACCCCATGAGGTTGGTGCCCTGGGGCTGCCCTGCCCCCTGCACCTCCCTGAGTCCCAGCTGGAGCTTCTCTGGAGCTCAGGAGGGGAAACCCAGACTGAGATTCCTTCAATGTTTCCATGTCTGTCTTTAAGGCATCAGTCTGCTGAAATCTCTTGCATTTTTGATGTGTCTTGGTTTGGAAAGCCAGGGGTCTGCTAAGGAGGGCAGGAGCCTCCCCTGAAATGGAAAATGTAAAACCCCTCCCTCTGAATTATTATAATTTTGAAATTAAGGGCTCTCAGGCAAAGATATGGGAGTAGGAAAATTAAAAATACTAGGAAAATTAAAAATACAAATGCAATAGTACAAAAACAGAAAACAAACCCCTGCCAGAGCCAGACCATGCCCTGCCCCCTGTGTGTCAGGGGGTGTCCCAGCCCCATCCCAGGGGGGCTCAGCCCTCCTGCAGTGCCAGCTGTGGCTCTGCTGCAGCAGGGATCCTGCACAAGGGGGGAGTTTTCCTCTGCAGCTCCAGGGCTGCTGCAGATGGGCCTGGGCTCCCTCTGGCCATGCGGGGCAGCAGAAAGCTGCTCCTCTGGCCATGCAGGGGGCAAAGGCTGCTGTGCCAGGCTCAGACTGGATCCAGGGAGGAATGCTTGGCTCCTCCCCTGGGCGGAGCATCTCCCCATGGGATGCTGGGATGGGATCAGCCCTGCAGGGACACTCAGTGGCCGTGGACAGCAGAGATCTCCTGCAGGGAGGGTTGGCTGGGGGAGAGAGAAAGAAAAAACTGCCCCAAGGACAGCAGAGAACTGCCCCAGCTCTGACAGGTGGGGATAGAACACACACCTACATTGCCAGCCTAAGACAGAATGGAAATTGGAAGCAAAATCTTGAAGTTGTTACATTTTTGGTGGCACCTGGCCTAGTGGAAGGTGTCCCTGCTCAAGGCAGGATGTTGGAATGAAATGGGATTTAAGGTCCCTTCCAACCCAAACCATTCTGGGATTCCAGAATCAGGAATCTGATGAAGAACAGTGACAGATTTACTGCTGATAGGAAACCACTAGAGAAGCCATACCCTGATATTTAACAGCATTATGGCACTAAAAATACTTTATTTAAAGATAAAATCAACAGATTCCCTGTATCTCTCCTTTATCCCAGTGCAAACTCCAATCCAGTTGCACCAATATGATTCTCACCATAAAGTGTTAAAGTATTTTGATTTTAGAGTGAAATTAATTATATTTTTATCACCTTATATCATTATTCTCTCTTTCCCTTTAGGGCTCTGTTTTTAATGTCAAAAAGTAATTTTCAACCACCAAAGCTAAAGGAAAAAGCAAAATGGTAGGTGGTGCTCCTTCCTTTGATCCATATTTTATTGGAATTTCATGATCCTTAAGATCCAACCCAAACCATTCTAAGATTTTATAGATAAAGGGCACAAATATTTGTTATTTTTGAAGAAGAGACCTTTCTTTGATGCTTTGTATGTTCTAGAAGAAAAATCTTTATTCTTTCCCCTTGATTCCTGTCATGGAGCACTTGCCCCTGTTGTTGGGACAGGGAATGGTTTAATCCCTTCCTGGTTTCTTTACCCTGGGAGAAATTCCTGGTGCCATTCTTGGTTTGTTTTCTCTACCAAAATGTTTTCCATGCAAGATTCATGAATCAAATGGGGTTTTGTCCTTATTTTGTTAACTTGGGAATGTAATTTTTCAAACCTGAGGTGAGATACCTGTACAATATTCTGCTTTATCACACCCTTTTGTAATGTGCTTAGCAACTGTCTTAAAATCAATATTACCTTGAAAAATTCAACATAAACCCTCTTTTTCTTCAAGGTCAGCAACATTCCATAATTTTGTCAAAATAGCACTTACAAAAAATCCAAAGAAGAGACCAACAGCAGACAGACTTCTCTCTGTAAGTGACTTGGGACCTTTGGTGACCTCAGCAAGGGATCTTTAGCTTCAAAATGAGGAACAGATCTGGAGGAAACCAAAGGGAAACCAATTTTTTTAAACCTTATTACTCAGGTGGTGAAATCTGAAGGAAAAAGACGTTGATCAACTGTTAGCAAGTGGATTTTGTGTAGTGTTTTTGCACAGTTTTATACAAATTTTGGCCAATTACAGAAATTGGCTTCATGTTCTCAACCTTGGCCTTCCTGCAAGAGGCTGCCTCAGCCTTGGAGCTGTGCAGAAGTTTCCTGACTCCCAAAAATTTCAGCAGCTCTTGGTGTATCTGTGCTTTCCCAAGCTCTGAACTACTGCTGTAAAAAAAGGAAGTTCAAGTGTAATTATTTGTTTGACTCAAATTTAATTTGCAAGTGCCCCAGAGTGTGGCATTTGCACATTGATGTTCTTAGAAAATCCAGCATTGAGGAGTCACTAAAATAACAGTGAAAGCACAAAAACAGTCAGTAACTCTGTGACTCTGAGGATGAGGGAAGAGATGAGGATCTGACTCCATGTTTCAGGAGGTTTGATTTATTATTTTATGGTATATATTGTATTAAAAATAAACTAAAAGAATAGAAGAAAGGATTTCATCAGAAGGCTGGCTAAGAATAGAAAAAGAAGGAATGAATAACAGAGGCTTGTGGCTCGCACAGAGTCTAAGCCAGCTGACTGTGATTGGCCATTAATTAGAAACAACTGCATGAGACTAGTCAGAGATCTCCTTGTTGCATTTTATAGCAGCAGGTAATCACTGTTTACATTTTGTTCTTGAGGTCTCTCAGCTTCTCAGGAGGAAAAATCCTAAGGAAAGGATTTTTCCTAAAAGTTGTCTGTGACATGACTACTGAATGTTTATTACTGAAAGTTCTCTATTAATTGCAGTTAAAACTTCTTTTTTGTGCTCTTTGCTGTGGTTACAGCACAGCTTTGTGGGGCAGCCTGGTCTCTCCAGGTCCTTGGCCGTTGAGCTGTTGGACAAAGTGAACAACCCCGAGAACCACGCGCACTACGGCGAAGTGGACGATGACGATTTTGAGGTGAGAACATCATTTTTGTTCTCTGCCTTTTGTTAAAACTGGCACTTTAAATGGCCTGCTTTGCTTTGGGAATTTAAAATTGAAGCTCAAACAGCAGCTGCTCCTGTTCTTGTTGGATTTCCCTCACCTGTGCTGCCCTCCATCCCTGCAGCCCCACTCCGTCATCCGCCACACCATCCGCTCCACCAACAGGAACGTCCGAGCAGAGAGGACAGCATCAGAGATCAACTGTGAGTTCTGCTCTGCTTTCCCCTTTCTGGGGGTGCTTTGCCTCTGGGGTCACTGCCCAAAAATCTCTCTCCACTTGGGAAGCAAGCCCTGGAGAAGCAGCATGTGAATCTTCAACGATAATTACTCAAAACTAAAATTAACATTAATAAATTACTCTGATAGTAGTTTATTTACCTAATTACTTAGTTACTTAGTTTATTTATTTACTTTTACTCTTTAGTTTATTTATTCTGATAGATCTGAGCTGAAATGCTGAGGGTAGAAATGGTTTTATCTGCAGGTTTGATTAAAAGCCTTTGGTAGCACCAATAGTGGCAGCTCCATCACACTCTGGGAAATTTGCTCTTGAAGAGCTTTTTTCTCCTCTTTCACATGCATTTCACTGTGACAAGTGGTTAAATAGTTACCTTTCTGTGACTTGGTATTTGCTTTTGGCCTTTCTTGTGGGTTTCGTATTTGCAAATTCAAGCACTCAGAGAATGAGGCTGATAGTGAAGTGCTGCTCCTTTGAGAGGCAAATTCAGAGTTGTGCACACAAGATTTCCATGTGTTCCTGCCTGCTTTTCACTGTAGTGAGCCCTGAAAGGATCTCAGTGCAAGATTGTGTGTATTAATTATGAAATTATTGTATTTTTAGTTGATAAGCTGCAGTTTGAGCCCCCTCTACGGAAAGAAACAGAAGCTCGGGATGAAATGGTAAGGACAAGTTTGGTATAAATAAAATAAGTTTTATTTATTAAAATCACAATGTCTTCAATATTTTGTGGTACAACCCTTAGCAGCTTACTGGAAAAATGTTTTTAAAGTTCCCTAAATGATCCTTACTGGATTTTTCACCATCAGTTTTTATTTTCCTGTTACTTTTTGCTGCTTCATCTGGACATTACACATTTCCAGGTGCTGCTTTTAACTCTAAGAAGAATATATGAATTTATAGATTATAGGATGTTATCTCTCTTTGGAATTTGATTTTTCTGCTTGTGGATTGGCCTGCAGGGCTGGGGAATCCCTCAGGCCTCTTTGTGTGTTGTGGATAAGGTGATTTAAGATAATTTAGTTTGACAGGGGGGAAATAAAATGACAATTTCTGCATCTTCAGGTTGTGGCAGCTGGCAGTGACTTTGCTTCACATTGGAATCCTTTTGTTGATGGAGGCAACAAGTAAGTACAGATAAAACCAGTTTTTATTTCTGTGACTTATTATGAAACTGAAAGAAAAATGAGATATGTTTAAAAAAATCAAACCATAAGCCCTGATCCGCTTTAATATTGATAAATGAAGGAGCTGTTACCCAGTGTGCAGCCCTCCTTCTGCAGGGGCTTGGTCAGCTCTCTTGCAGAGTGACTTTTAATCCCCTTTAAGCAGCACCAGTAGCTTGTTTGAAGTTTGTAGGTGGAAGTGAAGTGTAAATGCACAGCCAGGACAGTGACATAACACAGCCACAGTGGGTTTCCTGCAGCAGAGCTGGTTCAGGATCCTGCCCTGGCCTCACACTTCTCTTCTGAGCTGTGGCTGTGGTTGTGACATCCTGTGACAAGGCCTGAACTCGAGAAAGGGAAGGGGAAACCAGTTCTGAATGTTGATTTGTACCAAGCTCAGTAACACTGCCCCACTGCTCCTGCTCTGGGGGATTTCTAACCCAGCCATGGAGGGGTTTGGGGTGAAATGTTTTAGGGAAAGATTTGTTTGTAGCTGCTTTCCCTGGGATAAAGCAGGCCTGAGGCGCAGGAGCACAATTCTCCAAGTTAGGACTGAATTGTTTTAGGTGTGTACCTACAAAAAAGTGAATTCTGCCTTTAAAGGATTTGCAGGCAGCTGTGTGGAGGTTCAGATGGAGGCAGAGATGATATCTGGGCTCAAACCATTGCTCAGCTCAAAGAGCCTGTTTCCCATCTTTATTTGGAGCTCAGCAGCAGACAGTGAATTTCTCTGGCTTTTTTTGCTGCAGATAAAAGCCTTGCATAAGCTGTCAGCTGACATTACAGCCCTGGAAAGCTGGGGGACACTGCCAGCATTTCAGCCTTTCTCAGCATCCTGGTTTTCCTGCCCCCAGCCTCCTTGGAGCAGGAGGCTGGGGGCTCTGGGGCTGAACTTTGGGGGGCTCTGGCTCTGCCCTGTGCCCTGCTTTGTTTGTGTGACCCTGCTGAGCTGTGGATTGAAGCCTTGCTGGAATTTCTGCAGCCAGCTGCAGTCTGTGGGGTCCAGGAGCAGGGAGGGAGTCAGGGAAGCTCCTCCTGGCACAGGGCCTCAGGGGTGTGATCCTGTTCCTGTGGCTGTGCTGCAGCTGCAGCAGACATTCCCAGGGCTGTAAATCAATAAACAGGTACAGAGTCATTGGGAAGGAGGGCAGGGACAGCAGGCCTGGCTGGGGGATCCGTGCTGCTCGCTTGGAAACCACTTCCAGCTGGAGAGATAAACAGGAAATGCATAACTCCTGTGTCCAGCAGTTGTGAGTAATCCCTGGGATGTGCACAGAGATCAGGGATGTGTGCTGGGGGTCCTTGCTTTTCATCCCTTTGCCTTTTGTCAGGGTGGATGCTGAGGGGTATCTTTGAGGATTTATTTGGCTGGAAAGGGGAAGAGCAGAATGGGTACCTGGTGACTGATCTGGTTCCTTCCATTTTAAAATTAATTTAGTAAAAATGTCCTGCATTATGGAGGTGGTTTTTTATTGATGGTTTTCATAGAATCCCAGAAAGGTCTGGGTTAGAAGGGACCTTAAAACCCATCCAGTTCCACCCCTGCCATGGCAGGGACACCTTCCATTGTTCCAAGGTGCTCCAAGCCCTGTCCAGCCTGGCCTTGGGCACTGCCAGGATCCAGGGGCAGCCACAGCTGCTCTGGGCAACAAAAACCTTGCAGAAAGAAAACAAAACAACTTTTTCTCCTTTAAATTTTTTAGTAATTCCTGTTGGCAGCTCTCTGCTGCTTTCCCTCAGATTTGACTTGCAGGGATATTTCACATTAATCCAACTTTGGCTGGGTTTTCCTGGTCATTTCCCTTTAAAGACACAGCTTGAAAATTGCCATTTTGCAAAATTTTATCAGGGTTTTTTTTCTTCAAGGTTATATTTTCAGTGCTGCTTTGATCTTCTAGTCACAATTTCTCTTTTTTTGTTGTCCCTGGAGTGGCTTTAAAACAAAAATTCTCACTGTAGTGGGAAACAGTCTGGGTCTTTTGTGTGTATGTATAAATAAGGAAACTTCCCTTTAAAGGCTTTTCTCCATTTGTCTCCCAGTAACTTCCTCTGTTCCTTTTTTCTCTTTTTATATTGAACTCTTGTTAAACATTTCAACAATATTTGAAATGCCAGGTAGGGAAGTGAAAGCTGATGGTGTGGAAGAGAATCCAGTGATTTTTAGGGGATAAGAAGAAGGGAAGGACCTTAGAGAGTAGAATTTAGTGCAGAGAGAATTATTTGTTTTGGAAAGGGCTGGGAGATGCTTGTTGTGAAACTCAGTGACATCAGGGATGGGTTGAGCTGCACGTGTCGACCTCAGAGCTGAGCTCTTAATTCTGTAAACATTCTGCCTTAGGGGACTGCTCACAAAATTTGGAGATGGGAGTGAAGATGTTGAAGAGTGAGTGCATCTCCTTCCTTGCTCTGCTCCAAAACCTCTGCCCTCAAATGCTGCAGGAGGCTTTGCCCCTCTCCAGTGAGGGCTGGCTGCTCTCTTGGCTCCTTCCCTGATCCTCAGGAAAATCCCAAAGCTCTGCTTCCTCCCCTGCTCCCCTTCCTGAGTTATCTCAGTCCCTGTGCTGTGCCTGACACCTAAAAGCTGATTTTATGGTGATGAATCCACCGTGAGCAAGGCCTGGCTGGGACAGGATGATCCTGCACAGCTCAGGTGATCCCAAAGCAAGGCTGCAAACTGGAATCCCAGAATCCCAGAATGGTTTGGCTGGAGGGACATTAAAATCATCTTGTTCCACCCCTGCCATGGCAGGGACACCTTCCACTGTCCCAGCCTGGCCTTGGGCACTGCCAGGGATTCTCTGGGCACCCTGTGCCAGGGCCCACCCACCCTCACAGGGAAGATTTTCTTCTCCATATCTCACATAAATCCACCCTTTTCCAGCTGAAAACCATCCCCCCTTGTCCTGGCACTCCAGGCCCTTCTCTGAAGTCCCTCCAGGCTGAGATCCAGTCCCTGAATTGATTTACAGGCTTCAAATCTCCTTCCCCACAGATTGCTCTGTAACATTGGTATTTATGAAAGAACAGGAGTTCATTAAAAACCAGCACTTCTAACGAGATTAATGAGCTTCTGCCCTGCTCCTGCATTTCTGGTTTAACCCTGTGTGTGCAAAGCTCTGCTCTGCCTTTCTGTGCCTCTGGTCATCTGATTTCCAGTCCTCAAGGAGTTCTGGCTTTGCTTTAACTCACACAGCTGCTGCTCTTGTCATTGCAGATCAACACTAAAGCGAGCTGGGCCACCCCCACTGCCCCCCAAGGTGAGAAATGTGGGATTCAAGGATTGAGCCAGGCTGGGATGGCCTCTGGTTCTGCATTCTGCCTCTGATACTCCATCAGAGAGGAAGCTCTGAAATGATTCTGCTGTCAGATGTTTTATTTTCGTGGAACCACCGGTCTCCTGGGCTGGGAGGGACCCCCAGGGATCATCCAGGGCAGCTCCTGGCTCTGCCAGACCCCCAAAATCCCACCCTGGGCATGCCTGGCAGCTCCTGGAGCTCTGGGGCTGTGCCATTCCCTGGGCAGCCTGGGCAGTGCCAGCCCCCTCTGGGGGAGGAACCTTTCCTGAAATCCAACCCAAACCTGCCCTGGCACAGCTCCAGCTGTCCTGGGTCCTGTCCCTGCTCTCCAGGGAGCTTTTTATCCTTCTTACATTGTGGTGCCCAAAATCACTCACACATTTCAAAGGCTGATACATTTTTATGTAGCAGCAGTGTGACTGAAATTCAGCTTGCCTGAGCTTTGTTCTTCCCAGGTCCATTCCCAGTTCCTCACTTTTCCCCTCTCTGGTTCCCTGCAGCCAAGGATGAACAATTACCCCGAGGAGAACCTCCCTGATGACAACAGATGCCAGACAATAAAACACTTCCCAGAGTGCCAGAGCAGAGCCCCAGCAGCCCACAGGAGACAGAGCATCCCAGCCTGTGGGCCCCAGGCAGACTCCTGCCCCGTGGGGATGACCAGCAGCATCAGCAGCCCTGACTGCTCACAGCCAGATACAGCGACCTGGGTGAGTGTTCACCTGCCCCAGGGCTGCCTGGCACCTGGGGAAAGGAATTGCTCCAGAGCAGCTCTTCCCTGTGGATAATATCTTAAAACAAGCTGGTCATGAGGTGAAGTTTTCCTTTTTTCATGTGTGGTTCTTGTCAGAGCCATGGTGGGAATGTTCCCCAAAACAGGGACACTCAGCCATCAGTGCCATTACTGGGTTGCCTGCAGTAGCAAGGGAAAAACAGTGAATGTGTGGGGAGGACCTTGTTATAGGAGAGAAACAAACAATGGATGTGTGGGGAGGACCTTGTTATAGGAGAGAAACAAACAATGGATGTGTGGGGAGGACCTTGCCACAGGAGAACAACAGTGGATGTGTGGGGAGGACCTTGCCACAGGAGAACAACAATGGATGTGTGGGGAGGACCTTGCCACAGGAGAACAACAATGGATGTGTGGGGAGGACCTTGCCACAGGAGAACAACAATGGATGTGTGGGGAGGACCTTGCCACAGGAGAACAACAGTGGATGTGTGGCCGGGACCTTGTCACAGCTTTATTCTCACTGAGATTTGTCCCAGGGACTGTTTGGATGGTGGGAAATGAGCAGCTCAGTGCTGGGAGGGGTTCAGCTCCCTGAGGTGTGGCTGTGCGATGTCAGAGCTCACTCCTGCACTCCAGCTCAGCACAGGGGAGGAGATTTTCTGTTTCACTGTGTGAATAAGCTGCAAACCATGTCTGGGCTCCCTTTCAGGCAATGGCAATGGGATGCTGAAACACATCGAGGAGAACGCAGAAGGACCTGGACAAATCCCTCAGCTGCCGCGGAAAAAGGAGAAGAGAGATTTCCCTGTAGGTGCTGGGACTCTGGGGCTGCTGGCACTGTCATGTCCTCCAGCTGATCAGTGCACAGGAGGGGTTTTATGATTTTTTTTCTTTCTTTCTTCCCACAGAAACCAGCAATCAATGGTTTGCCTCCGACTCCGAAGGTGCTGGTAAGAAATCCGTGTGCGCTGGGATTTATGGAAACCTCCTCTCTCTGGGGTGGGATAAGGCACCATCTCACTGAGGGGGATTTTCTGCAGCTCACAGCCTTTTCTAGTGCTGAATCCATAATATTTGTTTCCGTTTTTTAAAACCTTCCTGTCACTGTTCAGTCTGGATGGGAAGGGTTGGAGGCTCCCCTGGCTCCCTCAGTTGTGCTCTCCAGTGGCAGCCCCTGCTGAAGCACAGAAATGGGAAAAGGTTCTAGTGATGACTGGGTTTTGCCTGTTCTCCCTCCATGTGCCATTTTATAAGCACTCAGTATTCATATTTTTTATATATTCAATAAATAATAGTAAATATTCAGATAATATAGAATAATTCAGATTGGAAAAGCTCTCTAATATCTCTGAGTCCAACCATTCCCCAGCACTGAGCCATGTCCCCAAGGGCCACATCCACGTGGATTTTAAACCCCTCCAGTGTGTATTGTTCTTACCCAGTAGGTACCTAAAGTTGTTGATAAAATTTTAAGCCCTCTCTGCATTTTTGAATGTCCATTAATTCAAATTTAAAGCTGTGAAAGGCAGGGTGTGTGTGAGTGGCCAGGAAATCAGCTCTTCACACTCTAAATTTGTTTCAGGTTTCAGTTTTGGTGTCTTTCAGATGGGAGCCTGTTTTTCCAAAGTCTTTGATGGTTGTCCTTTGAAGATTAATTGTGCGACTTCATGGATACATCCAGATACTAAAGGTGAAGTTGTGTTAGGTTTGGTGATGGGCTGGGAAAGAAAACAATTTGTAAAGTTGTTTTAGCTTTGCATTTGAAACTCCCCAAAGTGGGAAGGGAATAATCCTTTTGCACTGATTTTTCAGATCAGTACATCATCTTTGGCACAGAAGAAGGGATCTACACTCTGAATTTGAATGAACTTCATGAAGCAACCATGGAACAGGTGAGTTCTGGAGGGCTGAGCACACAGCACAGATTTGGGGATGTTATGGAGTGTGAACTTTGGCACTGGAGGAGAAGGTGCATACCAGGCTCTGGGGCTTAAATTATTCCCATCAAAGCCAATAAGGAAAACCTGAAAATTATTTGTTCCCTGACCTACCTGTATTGTTTAGTTGCTGCTTGTCAGATCTTCCATCTCCTTGGAGAACAGTTCCCTGCCCCTCTCCCTCCATGCCATCCCCACTAGATGGCACAGGGCAGCTCCTTGCATGCAGAGCCCTCAGTCATTTCATTCAGCTGCTGCTGTTATCCCCAAGAAGCTTTTCCTGGGCTTTCTAACCCTTTCCAAAGCCATTTCCTGCAGTCATGGTCTTAAATCTGGTGTTTCAGAGTCAGGATGTTCTTGGAATCTCCTTCCCTGTGTATTGTCCTAAATTATTTCATCTGACAGTCCTCTCTGGGCTTTTCCATGTGCTTTTTTATTCCCAGTGAAGGGTTGGCTGTGCCAGTGGTGGGCAGGGAGAACATTCAGTGCACTTCAAACAAAGTTTCCTTTTCCCTGAGAGCATTCCCAGCTGGCAGAGGTCAGTTGTGACCACCTGAAACCCCACAGGCTTCTGCCACACCACTGTTCCCACATTTCCTTTTATCCTTTTGCTGATCTCTCCCCTCCAAATGCACTTTCTGAAGTGTTTCTCCAACTTTTAATTCTGGTTGCATCTTCCATACACCTTCCTGTGTGTCCAAGGTTAAAATCTCCCAGTGCCAGGAGGATCTTTTTTGTTCCATTTGTAGTTTTTCAGTGGAAACACTGAATAAACCCAAAGCTCTTCTGTTAAACAGAAAATTGCTGGGAGATGCTCAGGGTTTGTGTCCAGCCAGTTGGATCTTTGCTTTCCACACTTTCTCCTACACCTATTTTCTTACTTTGCACGTGGGAGTGACACATGGGACAAAGTGTTCTGGAATCATGGAATGGTTTGGGATGGAAGGGGACTTAAATCCCATCTAGTTCCACCCCTGCCATGGCAGGGACACCTCCCACTGTCCCAGGCTGCTCCAAGCCTGTCCAGCCTGGCCTTGGGCACTTTTTCCAATATTCCATGGTCTGTCTGTGCTAAGTAAGGATCCAAAACGGGGAATAAACAGGAAGATGGGATTTTCTCCGATGTGGATCCCTGCAGGAATGGTGGTAGAGGTGGAACAGACAGAGAAAATCGTAGTTAAAAGTTTCTGTAGGTTTCTATTAATTGAATTATTTTCTTTTTTCCAGTTATTCCCTCGGAAGTGCACCTGGCTGTACGTTATCAACAACACCCTGATGTCCCTGTCAGGTGAGTGACAATACAGGGGAGATGATTGCAGCTATAAATAACCAGGAACATTTAAACCATGACTGAATGCAGTGTGTGGGGTCAGCCTGGAGAGGAGAAGGCTCCAGGGAGAGCTCAGAGCCCCTGGCAGGGCCTGAAGGGGCTCCAGGAGAAAAAGGTGCCTCTCAGGTACTGCTGATCCAGCAGTTTCCCGATCCCTGGGCTGTCAGCTCTCCTGGAATGGAACATTCCAGACAGGAATGAGGCACTGTGCCATGGAGGCTGATGGTGGGACTGTGCCTTTGAACAGGCAGGATTTATATAACACCTGTATTGGTTTATAGATAAGAAAATATCTTAAATATTTAAAAATATAATTTATAATATAAATATATTGTCTATATATTTAAATTATATTATAAATTAAATATATAAATATACAAGTAAATATATAAATTATATATATAAAATATTATATATTTATTCATATGTTTAATTTGTATTATAAATTATAATATATAACTATAGTTTTATAATTTATAATATAAATATTTTATTTATTTATCTACAATGTAATAGTAAATTTATATACTCTATTGTTTATATACTATATAATATATAATAGTATAAAAGTATATTTATTTATTTACTATATAATAGTGAGCATATTATTTATTTATATACTATATAATTGTATATAATAGTATGTAAATATAAATTATATTTATATACTATATAGTATATATATTATTTATTTATATACTGTATAATAGTATATACTATTATATACTATACACTATATTTACTATAATTTTGCATACTATATACTATATATTATTTATTTACTATAATTTATTGTTGTTTGGTAATTACAGCCTTTAAAAATATTTGCATAAAACTAAATGTAATGAAATAAGCTCTTATCTCTATATTCATTATTATTTTTATCTTGATTTATTTCTCTTCATATCTGGACTTGACCTACTTGACACCTGTTTGTAGAAGGTAATTTTTCCATATTTGCATTTTCCTGAACAGTTCTGTGGTGGAGGAGTGGCTGAGATGTCAACTGTGCTTTTCTCTCTTGCAGGGAAAACATTCCAGCTCTACTCCCATAATTTGATAGCATTGTTTGAGCAAGCCAAAAAAACAGGATTAGCTGCTCATATTCAAACCCACAGATTTCCTGACAAAATATTGCCAAGGTACAAACCTTTCACTTACAGACAATTATTAATAAGTAAAAATAGCCATAGATTGTGTTGGTGTGTGAAGGGCCCCACCATCTGTTATTGATGCATTTTTTGGTGATTATTATTCCAGGAAATTTGCCTTAACAACCAAGATCCCTGACACAAAAGGATGCCACAAATGCTGTATAGGTGAGCAGACAAACTCAGCTTTGCCATTTGTTCCCCTGGACATGGCATGTCTAAAACTCATTTCTTTTTAATAAAAGTAAGAGTTCTTTGTTTAGAAAAAAGGCTCAGGGAATTGGGGTGGTTCAGCCTGGAGATGTTCCAAAATTACCTAATTGGGGCATTTCTGTGCCTGAAAGAGCTGCAGGAAAAATGGAGAGAAATTGTTGGCAAGGGAGGGAGTGCCAGGCCAAGGGGGATCCCACTGCCAGAGGGCAGGGATGGATGGATTTTGGGGTTAAATCCTTCCCAGAGCCCTGGCACACCCACAAACAGCATTTCTGCTTTGTCACCTGGCTCAAGGCACCAGGTCCAAACCTTAGTGAGGAAAACTTGAATGTTTTCCTCCAGGAAAGGATCAGTAGGAATAAAAATTCTGGCAGAGGAAGGCAGAGCTATAAGTGCAGTTTGAAGGGCACAGAAAGAGTTAAAGCTTGGAAAGTTGTGGGTTTGTCCTTTCCTTTCCCTGGTGCTGTGTGAAATCAGAACCCTGGAATTATCAAGGCTGGAAAAGCCCTCTGAGATCATCCATCCATTGCCCCAGCACTAACCCACATCCCCAAGTGCCACATCTGCAATTGTGCCTTTCCACCCCTAAAATATAAATATTGTAAACATAAATATTAATTATAAATATAAAGTTTGTATATTATACATTACAATATATAAATAGAAATATTATAAATATAGATGTAAATATGAATATTATATATATCAATATAAAGCTGCACACTTGGAGAGCCTGTTCAGCTCATCTAAAGTGCCCCCAACAGCCACATTTACAACTAATTCCTGAAATCAGGCTGCTCCTGTGTCCAGCTGAGTTTAAAATCCACCCCAAACCCTGGCTCTTGTATTTCATGGGCTGTCAGAGCCCCCAGGAGTTTCCCACCTTCCCTGCCTGGGGATTTATTCCAACCCCAGGGAGGGGCACTGAGCTTTTCTGCCCTCTCATCTCTGAACTGGGACCCCAGGAATGCAAGTGGTTGTTAATTAAAGCTGTAATTGAGTTTATCTGGAATGTGGCACAATTTAATCACTGGGGATGTTGGAGTGGGAGACCAGAAGGCAGCAAGTGGGAAACTGAGGGAACAAGATGAGCTTAAAGTCCCTTCCAAGTCCATGAGATGATTTTATAATGCTGTTTCTTAACTCATTTGTAAATATAGCTGTAGGGTTGGTTTTTGGGTTTTTTCTCCAAGTGTGAATTGAACTTGCAGGGCTTTAAAATGACTGTTTTCTGTTTGTTTTTATTTTCTGTAGTACGAAATCCCTACACAGGCCACAAGTACCTGTGTGGTGCATTGCAGTCTGGAATTGTCCTGCTCCAGTGGTATGAGCCAATGCAGAAATTCATGTTAATAAAGGTAAGCAGTCACTGCTGGTGGAGTTGAATTATGATGCAGTTGGTGAAATAACCTTTGCAGAGTTTGGGGTGGAAAATACACCCCAGTCTGGTGCCATCTGTGGGCTGTGAGCACTTGAAAATCTGGCTGGGCACATTTTGACTCAGGAAATCTTGTGACTGAAGTGATTTAAGTAATATAAAAGTTATTTCAGTGCTGGATCAAGCCCAGCACTGGCAGTAATACACCACAATTCACCTCTGCCCAGCTTCAAAAGCAGGGAAAATTCTGCATATTTATGCAATATACAGTTTATAAATACACAGTAATACACAATAATACAGTAATGGACAATACACAATATATATACACAATATATACAAAATTTCTACTCTGTATATAGAGTAGAAATATACCATTTATAAATATTCAGTAATACACAGTAATACAGTAATGTGCAATACACAGTAATGCAGTAATATACAATAATATTTCTAAATATATATATAAATATTTATATACCGAGTATATTTTGTATGCTCTGTATATTTATAAATATACTCTGTATATTTCACTATATAATATTAATATAGTATTAATATTAATATATTTTCTATTTTAGGCATTTTAAATATAAATAAATCCATTTACAAATAAATACATAATATATAGTATGTTATATATTATATATTATATGTAATATATAATATCTATTATATATTATACTATAATATATAATTGATTATATTTCATAATATAATGTAATATAATGAAATATAATGTAATGTAATATAATATAATATAATCCAAAATAAAATTTAATATACAAAAATTATATGTAAAATATATTTTAAAAATATATTAAAGAAATTTATTCTATAGTATATGTATTACATATATAATGTATATAATATATATAATATATAATAAATGTCTTAAATATATTTTATTAAATATATTTATTATGTATTTTATTAATATAAATATAGTTGCTATAAATATAATATACTAATAGTATATTATATATATTTTTATTAAATATAAAAATATTTATAAAGAAATATTTTATATATTATATATAATATATAAATATATTTAAGTATTATATATAATATATATTATATATCATTAATGTATTAAATACCTTTTATTAAATATATTTATTTTGTATTTTATTATTATAAATTTCGTTAATATAAATGTAATAATATTAATGTAAATATAATATCTATAGAATATTCTGTGTATATTTCCACTCTGTGCACGCTGTTGCAGAGTCATTTCCCAGTAAAAGCAAACCCAGAGCCGCTGTTTTGTGTTGGCAGCACTTTGACTTCCCGCTGCCCAGCCCCTTGCACGTGTTTGAGATGCTGGTGATCCCGGAGCAGGAGTACCCCATGGTGTGCGTGGCCATCTCCCGCGGCGCCGAGCCCGGCCAGGTGGTGCACTTCGAGACAATCAACCTCAACTCCGCCTCCTCCTGGTTCACCGAGATCGGGGCAGGTGAGCCCGGCTCCCTCCTCGGTGCTGTGGTGCCTGGGGAGGGTGGGAGTTCCTTCCTTGGGGGGCTTTGGGAAACCTGGGAGTGCTGGGAATTCCTTCCTTGGAGAGCTTTGGGAAACCTGGGAGTGCTGGGAATTCCTTCCTTGGAGTGCTTTGGGAATCCTGGGAGTGCTGGGAATTCCCTCCTTGGAGGGCTTTGGTGCCTGGGGATGGTGGGAGTTCCTTCCTTGGAGGGCTTTGGTGCCTGGGAGTGCTGGGAATTCCTTCCTTGGAGTGCTTTGGGAACCCTGGGAGTGCTGGGAATTCCTTCCTTGGAGAGCTTTGGGAAACCTGGGAGTGCTGGGAATTCCTTCCTTGGAGAGCTTTGCTGCCTGGGGATGCTGGGAATTCCTTCCTTAGAGGGCTTTGGGAAACCTGGGAGTGCTGGGAATTCCTTCCTTAGAGGGCTTTGGGAAACCTGGGAGTGCTGGGAATTCCTTCCTTGGAGTGCTTTGGGAAACCTGGGAGTGCTGGGAATTCCTTCCTTGGAGTGCTTTGGAATGCCTGGGAGTGCTGGGAATTCCCTCCTTGGAGTGCTTTGGAAAGCCTGGGAGTGCTGGGAATTCCTTCCTTGGAGAGCTTTGGGAATCCTGGGAGTGCTGGGAATTCCTTCCTTGGAGAGCTTTGGGAATCCTGGGAGTGCTGGGAATTCCCTCCTTGGAGTGCTTTGGAAAGCCTGGGAGTGCTGGGAATTCCTTCCTTGGAGAGCTTTGGGAATCCTGGGAGTGCTGGGAATTCCTTCCTTGGAGAGCTTTGGGAAACCTGGGAGTGCTGGGAATTCCTTCCTTGGAGTGCTTTGGAAAGCCTGGGAGTGCTGGGAGTTCCTTCCTTGGAGTGCTTTGGAAAGCCCTGAGCATTGGCAGCTTCTCTGCCTGGGGCAGGTGGAAGCTGATCCCACATGGAGAGGGACTGGGGACAAGGGATGGAGGGACAGGAGCCAGGGAATGGCTCCCAGTGCCAGAGGGCAGGGATGGGTGGGAGATTGGGAATTGGGAATTGCTGGCTGGGCTGGAATTGCCAGAGCAGCTGTGGCTGCCCCTGGATCCCTGGCAGTGCCCAGGGCCAGGCTGGACATTGGGACACCCTGGGACAGTGGGAGGTGTCCCTGCCATGGGATGGGATGGGATGGGATGGGATTTAAGGTAATTTCCAATCCCAATTATTCTGTAATTCCCCGATTCTCTGTTGTGCTGATCTGCCCCCCATCAGTACAAACTGTCCTTACAAAAAAATCTTTTATTTTCTAAATTCCCTTAAACATCAGTCAGACCCTGCTGGTTGGGTTCTCCTTTGTGGTTCCAAGCTCTTTCCTGGGACCCTGCTCTTTGCCCTCCTTTCCTGCATAACAACTCCCAGAAATGGATTCTTGTCCATCCTCCAGCCCTTGGGGGAGGGTTGTTATCTTCAGCAAAGATTTGGGTTATTTTTAAGACCTGGTTGATATTTTGCAGCTGCTTTTCTCCCTTGCCTTTGTTGGATGTCCATTTTTACCTTTAAATATTGCTTTTTAGCAGCTGTAGGAACAACTTCATGAGTAAAAACTAGAAACGAAAATCTCTTAAACTAGTTTATTATCATCACAAAAATCTTTCCAGATGTGGATTTATGGGAAAAGAGTGGGTTTTTAGGAATTAAAAGTCCTTTTGTTTGTTTTGGTGCCTCTTTATGGAGGAAGCTGTGCTGAACCGTAGCATAAAATGTGTTTTATTCAGTAAAAGTTGTGTTTTTCTATTAAATACCTGCTTTGAACAGAGAGCTTTGTGCTCCTCCCAGAACATTCTGGGATCTTCCAGCCTTTAAAAATCAGAGTAAATAAAATAAAAAAAAATCAGAGTAACGAGCAGAGTGAAAAGAGCTTGGTGGGGGAGCAAAGTCTCTTGATGTGATATAAAATATAAAATAGTGATATAAAATGTAAAATAATCTGTTTTTTTCCCCAGGCAATCAGCAGCTGGATGCCATTCACGTGACACAGCTGGAGAGAGACACTGTCCTGGTCTGCCTGGACAGTGAGTAACACAAAATTCCCTTGGCTAGCTCACCACACCTCGTGCAGAACTTGGGTTGCCACAGTTGTTGATTTGAACTTCACCACGAGTTTGGTTTTCTTTTTTTCTCCCTACATTATTAATTTGTGTTGTAATATTTCCATAAAGATAGATTGGATAAGTGGGATTTAATTCTGGATTTTGTAATTCCACTTTGTCTCTTCATGTGTCTATCAGTCTGTCAGTGTAAAACCACCCCAAGTGTTACAGATATTTATTTTGTATTTATTTTGAGACGAAGATGCTCTGGGGTTCATTTTAGCAAATGCTGTAGATGTTAAATTTGGATATTTCTTTGTGCCCGAAAGATTAAATTTGTATTTTACAATTATATCCTGCAGTGGGTTTTAATGCTGATTTTTCTCTTTTTCTTGAGAATTTGTTAAAATAGTGAATTTACAAGGGAAATTGAAGTCAAGCAAGAAGTTGGCTTCTGAGCTGAGCTTTGATTTCTGCATCGAGTCAGTGGGTGAGTGATTTGCTGCTCTGGGGTCTCTCAGGGGTTTCAGAACTCACTCCTGAAAGCCTGGCTGGTTTCTGGTCATTTCCATAGCAATGAAACAAAATTTGGGCAGGAAAAAGTGGTTTAGTAATACATAAATCTGGGTTAGCCTTCTAAAAGTTAAGATTTTATTTCACGTAATAGCACATCCATTTTTTAGTAGTCAGGGTAATAATATTTGAATCAAATTCTCAAGCTGCTGTCTTTAGACTGGGACAGGAGGTTTTTTTAAATTGTAGTTGTCAAACAGGAATTTCTGCTGTCATAAACTCTCAGAATCACAGAATTAAATCACTCAGAGCTGGCAGCTCAGTGCTCTCTCCATCCCTGAATGGAAAACTCCCATTTTCCATCATTCCTCTGTTTGGAAATGACTGTAATAATTCAGGTGATGTGTCATTTCCAGCAGCCCACATGCTTTGCTTGGCACTGTTTGTTTTTACACTTCCTGAGGGGTTCCCCAGAGGCTCTGGGAAAACAGGGATGGAGGGAATGGGGTGTGATGTGTCCCTCCTTTGCAGTGTGCCTTCAGGACAGCGTGCTGGCCTTCTGGAAGCACGGCATGCAGGGCAAGAGCTTCAAGTCAGATGAGGTAAGTGATCTCCAGTTTAATTCCTGTTTAATTCCTCCTGTTCCTTATTTACCACTGGATTTTTTGCCTTTTCTCTCTGATGCCTTGTGCAGGCTGCCCTGGAGCAGAGGCTGGATGGAGCTCCAGAATAAAGCAGGGATTTATTCAAAGCATCTCCTCCATGGATCCACCTTGGGCAGCACCAGAGCCCAGCCAGGGCTGCACCCAAGATCAACCAAAATGGCCCCAAAATGCACGGCCGGGCACGGGCTCTGTCCCTGGGATCAGTTCTGCTCCATTTGCACCTTGCAGTTCATTGTCCCATTCCAGCTTTAGCCCCTGCAGTCCCACCCTGCTTGTTTTTCTCTCTCCAGCCCACGGTGTTTGTGCTCTGGGGCTGAGATTTGGGTCATTTGTCCTTGGTGCCCAGCTGGAGCAGGAATTGTTTTGTCTCCCTGCTCTGTGCACAGAGCTCAGAACTGCACATCATCAGAACCATCCCCTGATATGGAGCCCAGATCCTCACACTAAAGCAGCACAGAATGTGAAACATAGAAAATCTAAAACCTGAGGCATCATCTCTGCTTCCCAAATGAGAATGCTCAGATTCCACAGTGCTTAACATCCATTTATCCATTTCAGTCCTGTACTTTGCATTAAATTGCATTTGAATGTTTCCTTTCTTCCAACTCAGACCAATAAATGTCCTTGTGCTGCTGAAGTGGATCTGAGTATCTGCATTTTTCTGCAGGTGACCCAGGAGATATCTGATGAAACCAGGGTTTTCCGCCTGCTGGGCTCAGACAGGTAATCCCCCTGCAGAAACACAAACCTTTTGTTTTATTTAAAGCAGCTTTTCTACTTCCCAGCTGGGCCTGGCTTCCAGCCCAGCCCAGCTCTGTCTGTGGGCACCAGGAGTCAGGGAGAGAGAGAGGAGAGATGCTCTGGGCTTGCAGGGTACTCAGGAAAAGCCTGCTCCTGCTTTTGGACTGTCCTGGTGAGCTGGGAATTACCCTGGCTGGTCTGGAAGTAACAAACTCAGGTTTTAGTCCCAGTGATCCAAATCCACACATTTTCCATAAGATCCAGCTGATCCCTTCCAGCTGCACAGGTGGGGAGGGGTGCAGCTGTCCCCAGGTTTGCACCCTGAGCTCCAGCTTGGACCTGTTCCCTTTGGATTCTCAGCCATCCAGGGGGATAAATGTAGGAATAGACAGGGATAAGCCCAGCAATCACTTCAGCCACAGAATCCCACACTGGTTTGGGTTGGGAGGGACGCTAAAGCTCTTCTTGTTCCACCTCCCACTAGCCCAGGTGGCTCAGAGCCTTGAACACCTCCTGCTCTCAAACCCCTGATCCTCTGCTCCCTCATCTGCCCTTGGAAGTGCCAAACCCTTTGGTTTGTATTTTCCATCTCTGTACAAATGGAGCAGGAGTTTTCCTGCCATTCCAGATCTCCTTTTTACCTTGGATCACTCCAGAACAGCTGGGGTGCAGAGGTGAGGCTCAGGGACAGAGGCTGTTCAGAGACTTCATTTGAAAACTCTTTGAGGAAAACAAAAAGCAGAGACGAGTTTTAATCCCAAAACCAACAGGAACTGGTGCAGAGAAATGCTCAGCATTTGGGAGGGAGAGGGGAGCTCAAAGACCCAACCACAGTGTGCCAAGACAGGGGGAGAATCATTGTCCAGAGTGGCCACAGGAACATGATCCAGCAGGACAAAGGCAGAGATGGGGTTCAGTGATCCCTGGGAACCCATGAGGTGATAAATATTGAGGAGGGAGGAGAATTGTTGAGGTTGCTTATCAGAAGATGTAGGAGGGGTGAATATTTGGGCTGCAGATGATGGGATCATGGAATTACAGAATGGATTGGGTTGGAAGGGACCTTTAAAATCATCGAGTTCCAACCCTTCCACTGTATCTTGTCCTTGTGTGTTTTTATCAGAAGTGATGCTGGAAAATGAGGGAACTGGGTAAAGAATGAAACACCCAAGATATCTGGGACAACCTCTATCTCCAACCTGTACAAACCTCTGAGTTTCCTCCTCAGGAGTTACCTCAGAACCGTTTTTTGCCCCTAACTGTGGATCCCGTTTGTGTTTGGTTGCAGAGTGGTTGTGCTGGAGAGCAGACCCACAGAGAACCCCACAGCTCACAGCAACCTCTACATCCTGGCTGGACATGAGAACAGCTACTGAGCAGCCCCAGCCCAGCCCCAGAGGGAGCTGGGACCCAGGAGCAGCAGCAAACCAGGACTTGGCTGCTCCTTGTCTGGCGCCCGAGCTGTGCTGGGCCTGGGGTGGGAATCAATCCATTTTTGCAGCTGGGAACAGCTGGTTCTGTCTCTTGCCACTGTGTGGTTGGTTATGTCGAGTTTGCTTAATAAAAGCTGAGATAAAGAGCCCTTTACTCGTTAGTTCTAGGGAAACAGAGCCTTGAAACGTCTTCTGCAGTAAAGGTGCCATAAACTGTTAAATATTCCCCTTCCCTTGGGTTTTCCTTTTATTCTGTAGATACAGATCTAGTGCTGGTTGTTGCCCTCTTTTATACTGAGTCTTATTCTTAATAAAACAAAGATTTGTGTAGGAAGTGAAAGTATCTGCAAAGCTTTTTGGTTTTAAATCTGCCATTGGGTATGGCTTTGTATAATAGACTATTTAATCCTTATTTATTAATCTGCTGCTAGGATGGGGTAATGTCTAACTTTTAGCAAAGGAAGGTTGCAGAGCAGCTTACTTTTTTTTTTTGTTTTTTTTTATAATTGTATAAAGATTTGATTATTCTTTTTCCTTGTAGGGATGTAGTGCATTACTGAGGGGTGTGTTACCATGTTGGGTGATCATGTAAAAAAATGCAGTTTTGTACAACAAAGTATTTTGTACTGATTTTTCTGCCTGCAGAATTGCCATAAAAGGGATTTTCTTACTTCCTAGACATAGGGTGTGTGTACACAAAGTAGAATATTGGTATCAGACCTGTTGCTCCTGGGGGCCTGTGAACAATATCCATGTGTGTGTGCGTGTGCATGTGTGTGAAGTTGCCTGGCAGTGTGTATTTTTTATATATATATTTATACATATATATATAAAAATGTACAAAACATATATGCTTTATTTTCATAAATTAGGGATAAGCCTTGTGACATGAAGTGGAAATTGTAGCAGGTCATCATCCTTAATGAATGAAAGTATCATGTATCCAAGTGGCCACGACGTGTGGTTTATTTATGCTGCTGCAGAGGGGGGCTGGAGCCACAGCTGAGGCTGAGCAGCTTTGCAGCTGCTGTGCTTTGGGGCTGGCTGCTGCCCCAGCTGGGAGTATAAATAAACATGATAAGAACCAAATTCTGTATCCAAGCTTTGATCACTTTCTGGTCACCTGCATTTTTCTTTCCTTTCTCTTTTCTCCGTTGAAGAGTCGCATCGGTTCCTTTTGTCTTCCTCATTAATTAAAATTCCTGAGGTACCATTCAATATAGACTGACTCCAGGAGAGATCTGGTTTTACTACCTCACATTACCCTGCTGGCTTTGATGTGAACACTCCTGGGCAGGTGCAGAATTCCAGTGCTCACAAACATTGGAATTGAAAGGTTTTTTAATGAAATGCCTGTTCAGCTCCTGACATCTGCTGCCTAGGAAGGAGAGGCTGGAATTCCCAGCTCATTTGAGCAGAGCAGGAAAGGTGTGTGAGAGCTGGGAGTGCTTTGGTGCTGTGTTGGCATCCAGCTCCCTGATCCATAATTCAGCAGGGAGGAATTGTCTGGGCCCCCGTGACGGCTCAGGGACATCTCCGTACTCAGGACAGCTGCAAGGGGGGAAGGTGCACAGGGGAAAACAGCCCTGCACACATTCAGCATTTTAGCCACTGTCATTCACAACTAATTCTTGCTGACTTGGCATCCAAATCGAGTCAAGCTTTTCAGTTCTGACACTGTGTCAAAGCTTAGTAAGTACTAAGTGTACAGAGGAAATTTATAAATCACTCCACAGAGCATGAGAAATGTGCTTTAGGGGTGGTCAGCTGCAATTGGAAATGTGCTTTAGGAGTGGTCAGCTGGAATTATCTCAGCAGTATTAAAAGCAGGACGTGTGATTTTTGTCTTCTGAAAGACTTCTCTAGTATTGAAATTACTTCTCCACAGGCAACAGTGACTGGTGATTAACCTCAAATGATGCCTCTCCTGGTCTTTAAAACAAAAATTAAGGTGAAGTGAAGCACCAGGTGTAGATATTGTAGAGCAAACACTTTTTAATTTACCTCATTCACTACAGAAGGTAATTTCAGCTTCATCACTTAAAGGAGATCTCTAAAAGACTAGAGAAACCTGTAAATAAAATCTGAATATTTATGGGGAATAACTGGAGTAAATAACTCTTAGGTCATGGCACTGTCATGCAGGAATAACAAGCTGAAAGTATTTTTCTTTGACACAAATTGCTGATGTTTTGCTGGATCCTAAAGAATAAACTTAGGAAATTCCTTGTTTAATCAAACCTATTTTAGCTGTTGAAGCATTTCTAATGGCATGTTGTGAAATGCTTAGTGCTGGTTTCATAGACAGTGGCATTTTTTGGCATGATGCTGTTTCCTAGTGTAAAACCTCACTTTTGTTCCATACCACGGAGCAGAATTGTGTGTTCCAGCCAGCCTCAGTGACTCTGATCAGTATAATTTGTGTTTGACTGTTTAATTTAGTCTGGTATTGTTTGTACCTTTGTTTTTGTGGAATTTAAACCAGGCTTGAGAAAGCCTAACAGGGGGAGCTCAGGGGTGATGAAGCAAAACCTTGCTCAGCCCCTCCTTCCTCGCTCAACATTTATCAAAATTTTAATTATTGGATGCACGAGGTCATGTACCCAACTTGAAAGCCTTAAAACAGGCTCCCAGAGCTCTTGGAAGTACAAACAGCATTGGAAGAGCAGTCTGTAGATTTCATCTCTTTGGATTTCCTCACCAAATTCCTTGCAAGTGAAAAACACAGCTGGAATTGTGCTGACATCTCTGTAAAGAAGACAGGTACAACGCATCAGGGGAGCCACGGTGTCTCTGGATGGAAAGGACCAGACTGGGAGACTCTGAAATGTGCTTTTTTTACCTTGTTTAGTCCTTAGGTGTAACTGAGACTCATAACTGCACTCGTTCAGTTTGTGTAACCAGGCTTTGTTCCACGGGAATTTCTGTTGCAGTTCAGTCTATGCCAAATAAACTGCTTTATTTGATCTGTGCCCTGGTGACTCTCTGGTGACAATGCCTTGCTCAGAGGGCTCTGGGCAGGATCCAGCCAGCCCCAGGTTTGTGGCTGCTGTGGGAAGGGCCTGGTGCCACTGATCCCTGTCCTGCAGACCGCAGGAGCCAGCAGCAGCTCCGGGGACAGCACAGGAGGGCAAATCACAGAGCGGGGACAAATAATTCCCACAAGGACACATTATCCCACAGGGACACATTATCCCAGCCCAGTCACCTGGGAGCACCGAGGAACCACTCAGGAGCTGTGTGGCTGGAAAAGCAGAGGCTCCTGCCTTGTACCTGGGGACAGAGCAGGGCCTGGTGGGCTCCAAAGGGCTGCTCAGAGTAGGAAAACAACAGCTCAGGACCTAGAGCAGTTTACTCCTTGTGTAAACACACAATTGGCTGTTTGCTGCAGGTGCTTCGGGTGCTGTGCCTGTATCCCACACCTTCAGGGATCTGCTGAGGAGGCTGAAAAAATAATGTAATTAATGTGGCTTTGGACAACACAACCGCCAGTTACCAGCAGTTATGTTTATAAATAAATATTTATAAATAATACAAATTATACTTATAAATAATTTATATTATTTAATATATTTATAAATAAATAATTATACTTCTATATTTCTATAAAATATATTAATATAAATAAATATTTCTCCTTTGCAGGAGATGGTTAACTCTGAGAATTCAATCTTGGCAGCTGGAATGTGAGGACTGCACATCCCTGGTGAATGTGGCTTGGGAAGAAAAATATTAGTGGATCTTAATTCTGAGTTGGGAAGCACCTCAGGAAAGGATTGGGGAGGGAGGAGGCATGAGATGGAGTGGGGTGCCCACACTCATTTCAGATTTAATATTGAAAGCAATTACCACCACAAAAGGTCGCCTTGGTCGGGGGATGAGGATCCAGCTGCATGCTCCAGGAGAGAGAACAGGATGGTCAGGGATGGAAAGCTCGTCCGAAGGAAGGCTCTGGCTGCTGGCAGGAGCCCGTTCAGTGGCAGAGACGCGAACCGGGCAGTGGGGAAATGTTCCAGAGAAACCTCCAGGAGCCAGAGGGAAGTGCGGGCATTGCCCGAGCCTGGCAGACCCTGTGGGAGGATGTTCCCTTTTCCAACCCTGCAGGAAAACGGAGTCAAACCTAGCGATGCTCTGGGAAGGCAGAGAGGGGCAAAGACAACATGATCATAACAGAATGGTTGGAGCTGGGAGGTCTTTAAGGTCCCTTCCCACCCAGTCCATGAGTGGTTCTGTAACGCCATGAACATAGGGCAAGAAGCCCGGGGGGATCGTGAGGCGCGGAGTCAGCGTGTGTCCCCGGCAGCAGCCACGGGGATCCCCGCTCTGCCTCCCTTCCCCCGGGACCGCCCCGGCCGTGGCGGAGTCTCCGGGGCGGTTCCTGGGGCCGTGCCCGCCGGGGAGGCTCCCCCCGCCCGGGGCCCGCCCCGGCTCCAGCTCCGCTCTGAGGCGGCGGCGGCGGAGCGCGGCGGGGCCGCCCGGCCATGGAGCGCTACGAGAAGCTGGGCAAGGTCGGCGAGGGCTCCTACGGCGTCGTGTTCAAGTGCCGCAACAAGGACACGGGGCAAATTGTGGCCATCAAGAAGTTCCTGGAGTCGGAGGAGGACCCGGTAATCCGGAAGATCGCCCTGAGGGAGATCCGCATGCTCAAGGTGGGCGGGCGCGGCGGGACGGACCCCGCTGCCGGCACGGGCTGTGCCCGCCATGGCGAGCCCCGGCGGGGAGCCGTCAGCCCTGAGGGCGCTGCCGGGGACGGTCTGAGGGGTCAGGGTGTGAGGACATCCATGAAGGGACATTGTGAGGCTACAAGGTGTGAGGATAGCCAGGAGGGGACAGAGCGTCTTGAGGGGACGGGACGTCGTGAGGGAACGGGGCGTCGTGAGGGGACGGGGTGTGAGGGCAGCCGTGAAGAGCCGGGGCATGAGGGCATCTCTGAGGTGAGGGGGGTGTGAAGGAGCGCCATGAAGTGCCCAGGTCAGTCAGTTCCTCTGAAAGAAAGGCATTGCCAGGGAATGCCCGACCCTCTTGTGCAGAGATGGCGATGCCGGGTGACCCTGGCCAGCCCAGCAGGAGCAGGCGGGAGCCGAGGCGCGGCCATGAGCAGCCGCCGGCTTTGCAGGAGCAGCATCAGCGCAGTCACGGTGTGCCCTGCACAGAGGGAGCGAGCCAGGCTCTGTCCCCATGGAGCCAGCGGGGTCCTGGCCGGTGTGGGCACAGCTCTGCCCTCGGTGTGTGCCACAGACCCCTCTGCGCCCGCGAGATTCCCCAGAACATTCGGATCCAATATAAAACACATGGGCAAAAAGTGAGGCTAGGCAGCGTGAGGAGAGGGCAGGCAGGGGACACAGCTCTGCCTGCTCCACAATGGAGAAATCCACCCCAGCTCCTCCTTCAAACGCCCTTTCTGAGCCCCTGGCTGTGCAGGATCCAGCTGTGGATTGAATGCCAGGGGCTGTGCAGGATCGGGTATTCCACATGGAAATGACAGCAGAACAGCACCAGTGAGCCTTGTCCTTGCTGATCCTTTCCTGACCTCTCTGTGAGTGCTCATCCTCACACAGAAAGGGGTTACTCCTTCAGAAATGGGTTACTCCTTCAGAAAGGGGTTACTCCTTCAGAAAGGAGTTATTCCTTCAGAAAGGGGTTACTCCTTCAGCCTCTGGCTTCATTTTCCCCATGAAACAAAAGCACGGGAGCATCTGCAGTGAGTCACAGCCCAGGTCTCTCCAGCATGCAGAAATGAGGAGATATCTGGGAGAAAAGGGGAGAGGATCGGGTAAGGTTTCCTTTCACACTCCCAGTTTCTGGGCAAGGATTCTGCAGCAAGGGCTGTGCCTGTTGCTGCATCCATCTGCAGACTTTTGGGACTCTGTCCCATCTCTTTGGAACTCTTGTGTTCATTTGGTCTCCATAGTGTCCTGAGGCTTTAGGAATGTGTTGTGTGAAAAAAAAAAATTCCTTTGCTACAAACTTGCTGCTGGGTGATGGCACACAGTACCCTCAGCTTTGTGTTCCAAGAAATGGGAAGTGTCCCCTTTGCACTTTTTCCTGGGTGCTCATGATTTGTACACCTGCTGTCCTAGGAAAGCAATAATCTAGGAAAAAGCATAATTATTTTTCAGTTACATTTTGGAAGAAGCAGCCAAAGTTCTTCTCCTGTCCAAAGTAAACACAGGACATGTAGCTATATTATTTCAGTGAATAATGCTAGATTTACATTAAGGTTTAAATGATATTAAACATCTGAAAAAGAAAATAATCATGGCAGAAGTCCCTTGTAAAGCAACTAGGAGCTGCATCATCCTCAAGGATCCAAAGCCACCACAGCCAGGCACAGCAGGATCTGTGTTGATCACTGTTGACTTTAACAAGTGCAGACCTGCTTGACTCTTTTCAGCTTTTTCTCTGCAAATAGAAACTGTTTGTTAATTTGTTTGTTGAGGCACTTCCTTGCTTGGGCAACTCCTGTTTGTCAGAGATGGAGTGAGATTGTGTTTCATCAGTAGAAAATTACAGGCCTGATAAATCATTTTTCTGCCCAGCAAACACCTTGCAGACCAAGGGATTTTTGTGGCCAGGAGCCAAGGGACGTGGAGTGGGAGTTTGCAAACTCTTGAAACCATAGAATCCCAGGATGGTTGGGTTGGAAGGGATTGTAAAAATAATCTCATTCCACCCCCTGCCATGGGCAGGGACACCTTGCACCATCCCAGGCTGCTCCAAGCCCTGTCCAACCTGGCCTTGGGCACTGCCAGGGATCCAGGGGCAGCCACAGCTGGTCTGTCACCCTGTGCCAGGGCCTGCCCACCCTCCCAGCCAGGAATTCCATCCCAATATCCAAGGACAAGGGGGGATATTGGGGCTCCCAGTGCCAGAGGGCAGGGCCGGATGGAGCACTGGGCAGAGCTTGCTGCCCACCCATTGAGGTCAGCTCCCAAAATAAACACACAGAGACTGAGCTGTGCTTGTAGAAAGGGTTCAGATAAGGAACCGTGACCCTGCAGGACAGATCCGTCCCCCGCCCGTTCCCCCTGTGCAGTCCTGACCAGCCCGTCCCCACCCCCGTGTGTTGCAGCGACTCAAACACCCGAACCTGGTGAGGCTGCTCGAGGTGTTCCGGAGGAAGCGGCGGCTGCACCTGGTGCTGGAGTACTGCGAGCACACCGTGCTGCAGGAGCTGGACCGGCACCCCCGCGGGTGAGTGCGGGCACAGGGGCTGCCCTGCTCTGCCCGGGGCTGGCAGAGCCATTGCATTAATTATTAATTACTGCGAGCACACCGTGCTGCAGGAGCCGGACCGGCACCCCCGCGGGTGAGTGAGTGAGTGCGGGCACAGGGGCTGCCCTGCTCTGCCCCGGGGCTGGCAGAGCAATCTCATTAATTACAGGACAGGTTCCTTCTCAGGAAGTTGCAGTTTATTGCAGCCCCGAGACGCGTGAAAAGTCTGTTTCGGCCTGCACATTTAAAGAATGAGTTGGAGTTCTTCATTTCTCAGTCTCAGAGTTTATTGTTTCTTATCTATAAAAATTTTTCTCCTGCCCTGCCGAGGTCCGTGCAGCAGGACAGTTCCAGGCACTCTGCCTCCCCTCGGGGCAGTGTTATGTCTTTATACTACAAACTGCATATAACATGTTTTACAATTACTTTCCAACACCTATCACCTGTGTTAGACAGTGAGCTTCTACTCTAAACCAATCTGTGAGTGCCCCCATCACAGCGACCCGGGGCTGGGAACACATTGTGTCCTTGTGTCCTTGTGTCCTGCCCGGGGCTGGGGAACACATTGTGTCCTGTTCCTGCCACTGCTGCCATCGCTGCGGGCACTGGGCACCCAAACACAGAATCAGGGACTTGCAGAATCCTTTGGGTGGGAAAAGCCTTCTGAGAGCATCGAGTCCAACTGTTAGTGCAGCACTGCTGTGTTCACCACTAAACCACTGTCCCCAAGTGCCACATCTACCCTTTTGGGCACTTTGAGTGAGGAGTAATTCCTAAGAGCTGAGCCTGCGCCTCTCAGCAAAACTTGCAGATTTTTGGGGCTTTTTTTGCTCTCTGCAAAACTCCTCTTCAAACAGGTGCTTGCAAGTGTGAGCTCCACACAGGGTTTGTTCTGTCCACACCTTTAGTGCCACTCCCTCTGTCCCTGATTATCCAGGTGCCTTGGTGCTGGGGAAATGCTAAAGCAGAGTCCATAAATCCTTTCCCAGCCCTGGGGCTGTGAGTTTGCTGCAGCACGGGGGGTTGAGTAAACAAGAGTTTTGTTATTTACTCCCTTTCTCGGGGAGGAAGGAGCGTGCTGACAGCCTGTGACAAAGTGAGAGCTTTGTGAGCTGCCCAGCACTGCCACCCCACTTTGAACCTGTTCCCTGCAATGTGAACAGGGGATGGAAAACTCTCCTGAAGGAAATGTTTCCCATTTGCCTGTTGATCAGAACAGCTCCAGTGTGGAGGAACCTGTCATAGCTGGCTGTGTGCTTTGTTGTCAGCTTTGCTAGGGCAGATGGTCAAGTCTTTTGTGGTCAGGTTAGGATGGGTGGGCATGGGCTGATTCCAGCACATTTGACCAATTCCATCCCCTTTTTAGCTGCCACAGCAGCACTCCCATCATTCCGGGATGTTTCTGGAAGGAATCTCTGCCCACAGTGTCAGCAGAGTGTCACTGACCCACTGACAGCCAAGGGTGGAAGAAAAACTCAGGCTTGCATTGTTTTGGTTTAATTTTGGGTAGTGTTTTTATTTATTATGAATCAGAAGCTTTCCAGCACTAAACATGGGAAATAAAATTGTGTTTGAGTTGGGAAATGCCAAGGTTGTCGCTCCTGCCTTTGCTGGGGTTGCTGAAGATCCTTACACACGGCCAAGGAAGTTCAAGAACTGTTGCCCAGTAACTGGAAGAAAGGAGAGGGGGCTGGGAAGAGTTTGCTGGCTGTGGGAGGGAAGGAGGGGGATCCAAACCAAGCAGAGCTTTGTGCTCTGTTCTCAGCACCCTTCCCTGGCCCATTTTTCACCTCTCCATGTGGACAAGCAGTGCCATGGCAGCATTCCATGTGTCTGTACCATGGAAACTGCAGCAGCTCCTGCCCTGAGAGGTGCTGAGGCAGAAACTCCTGTGGCATTTCAGGACTGGCAGGAATTGCAGGACAGGCTCTGAGGTGGACTCACACACTTTGCTGTGGGGTCACAGTGGAGCCCTTGCTGGCTGTGACACTGGACCAGACACAAATCCCCTTCTCTTGTTGCCCTGGCTGCCTTTGGAAGGTTTCCTGACTTCCCTGATGGTTTTGCTCAGAGATCCCTGTACAGTGTCAGCGCTCATTTCCCCTGAAATATTAAATTCATTATTAATGGCCAAAATAAAACTGTGTTTTTCCCAACAGGGTGCCAGAGTACCTGGTGAAGAGCATAACCTGGCAGACCCTGCAGGCTGTGAACTTCTGCCACAAACACAATGTGAGTCCCCTGAGCTGCACCAGAGATTGCTGGAACGGGGCCTTGGGGGAGAGAGGGGGGTTCTGGTGGCATTTTCCGGATTCCAGAGCTTCCATGGGATGGAGCCAGGTGGAATCTCCTGCTTTGAACGGGAAACACACCTGAAATATTGGTGTACACCCACACCAGTGCCTTCACTGTCACACAGCCCCTTGCCTTGGCTGTCAGGGAGTGATTTGCTCTAAGGACCTTAGACAAGGCTCCAGGAGGAGTGGGAATGATCCTTGTGTGGTTCCCTGGGCCCTGCACTACTGCTGCCCTCAGGAACCTGCCCTCCCTGCTCATCAGCTGAGCAAACTGCAGCTGATTTCACAGAAAGTGCCTCACTTGGCTGGCATGGGGTTGAATCATGACACCAGTGGAATGAAAAGATTTCAAAACTCAGACACAGTAAATCCTTTTTACTCCCTCCTCTGCTCTCTGTGTGTGTCAGAAACGTCAGTGGGAACATTTTAAGAAGCAAGGAAGGAGAAGGAGCCTTTTGGAGAAGCTCTTTAACCAAACTTAGCTCTAATTTTTATTTTTGTTCATCTGCTAACATTTGAGATTTAAGAGTGGGCAGGAGATGGCTCTGGAATGGGTGTTTTGTCTTTGCTGAGAGAATCACGTCCAGCTGAGCCACAGGAACTTGGCCACAGGTCTCTCCTGCTTCCAAGATTTGTTGGTTTGTGTCTTTTTTCTGTTCCCCTGCTCAGTCTGGAAGATTTAGTGGAGTTTGAGAGCAGAGGGAACAATGAGATGCTGCAGCCTGAGCTGCTGTGGATCACAGGTAGTGAGGTTTTGTGCAGCTGCCCTTTTTGGAGCTCCATGACAGTGGTTAATAAGCAGCATTTCAGTCCTCAGCAGGAGACACAATAATTTCCCACAGTTTGGCAAGGAAAGTCCAAGGGGTTTGCTCTGAGGTGATGATGGGAGAGGGACAAAGTGAGTGAGACCCCAGTGAGCTGAGTAGAACAAAAGAAATAAAGGTTTTGTTAGTTTGATCAGCAGAAAATCTTTGCCAAGCACAAATTTGGTTGTTGTGAAGGACAAGGTCACCTCCAAAGAATCACAGAATTGCTGATCTTCACATCCAACCCTCCCATCAGTCTGGCCCAGCTAGAACAGGCTGTTCAGAAACTTTTCCAGTCAGGATTTCAGTATCTCCAAGGCTGGAGGCTCCACAGACTCTGGACAGTCTGTTTGGGTGTCTGGCCATGCCCTCAGTAGAAAAGATAAAATGAACTGGTTGGGTTTAAATGAGATTTCCTGAGTGCTCAGTCTGTGCCCATGGTCTGTGCTTTCAGTGCACCACCAAGAGCAGCCTGGCTCAGTCTCCTTTCCTCCTTCCCACCAGGTATTCCATGCACATCCAGAGTTCCACCTGGAGCCCTTTCTTGGTGCTCCCAGCTCCCTCGTCCTCTCCCTGGATGTGACACCCCAGTCCCATAAATTTCAGTGGCCCTTCAGTGGAGTGGCATCCTCCCTCTCTGGGGTGTCCCACCTGTGCTGAGCAGAGCTCGTGCTGAGCTCTGTCAGGAGAATCTTTCAGCAGGAGCTTCCCAGGGGATGCAGAGCTGGGCCCTGCTCAGAGCCTGTGCCCAAGGGTGGGCTGTGGCCAGGTCACTGTCCTGCTGCTCACAAACCCTTCAGCAGGAAAAGCTGCCTGCCACAGTGTGCAAGGGGGTCTGGCTGAATTTATCTGAAGGTTAAATACTTCTAACCTTGCTGCTTTGTCTTCTTCCAGTGCATCCACCGGGATGTGAAGCCAGAGAACATCCTGATAACGAAGCACTCCGTCATCAAACTCTGTGACTTCGGATTTGCTCGAATACTGAGTGAGTGCTGCATTTATCTACCTGATATCTATCTACCTGCTGAATTTGTCTATCTATTTATCTCTATGTGCTGGGAGTGTGGGATGAGCCACCCCAGCCTCACCTGTGTCTGGCACACTGCAAATCCTCCTGTGTGGTAGCTGTGTGTTTCCCAGGGAAGCTCTGCTCAGGGCTGGGTAGAGATTCCTGACCCGGGCAGGGAGGGAGCAGGGTCACGGTGGAGACAGCTGTAAACAAAGGCGGTGACAGCTGCAAACAAAGGCAGTGACAGCTGTAAACAAAGGCGGTGACAGCTGCAAACAAACGGAGCTCCCTGCTGGGCCGCAGGGGGTGCTGGCACGGGGATGGATGGATGGATGGATGGATGGATGGATGCATGGATGGATGGATGATGGATGGATGGATGGATGGATGGATGGATGATGGATGGATGGATGGATGGATGGATGATGGATGGATGCATGGATGATGGATGGATGGATGGATGGATGATGGATGGATGGATGGATGGATGATGGATGGATGGATGATGGATGGATGGATGGATGGATGCATGGATGCATGGATGCATGGATGGATGGATGGATGGATGATGGATGGATGCATGGATGGATGGATGATGGATGGATGCATGGATGATGGATGGATGGATGGATGGATGATGGATGGATGGATGGATGGATGGATGGATGGATGATGGATGATGGATGGATGGATGATGGATGGATGATGGATGGATGATGGATGGATGATGGATGGATGGATGATGGATGGATGGATGGATGGATGGATGATGGATGGATGGATGGATGGATGGATGGATGGATGATGGATGGATGGATGGATGGATGGATGGATGGATGATGGATGGATGATGGATGGATGATGGATGATGGATGGATGGATGGATGGATGGATGATGGATGGATGATGGATGGATGATGGATGATGGATGGATGATGGATGGATGGATGGATGGATGGATGATGGATGGATGGATGGATGATGGATGGATGGATGATGGATGGATGGATGATGGATGGATGGATGGATGGATGATGGATGATGGATGGATGCATGGATGGATGGATGGATGGATGGATGATGGATGGATGCATGGATGGATGATGGATGGATGGATGGATGGATGGATGATGGATGATGGATGGATGATGGATGGATGGATGGATGGATGGATGGATGATGGATGGATGGATGGATGGATGGATGCATGGAAGGATGGATGGATGCATGGATGATGGATGGATGGATGGATGATGCATGGATGGATGGATGGATGGATGGATGGATGATGGATGGATGGATGATGGATGGATGGATGATGGATGGATGGATGGATGGATGGATGATGGATGGATGGATGATGGATGATGGATGGATGGATGGATGGATGGATGGAGGGATGGATGGATGCATGGATGATGGATGGATGGATGGATGGATGGATGGATGGATGGATGGATGGAAGTCAGCCTTGGGAGCTGCCCAGTGTTGTTTGTGCAGGGCTGCAGACGCAGCTGGACACCCTGGCAGGAAAAGCCCCTCTGGCTGTCTCTGCAAACAATGGTTCACATTTTCTGTTGTAAATAAACCCCCTGATCTGGGTTTTTTTAGCTCCTCTTCAGACAAATCACATGGGTTCTGAGAGGTGCCCACTGGCTGTGCAGGGCCCTGCTGTGGAGCCGGGCAGTTTCATCTGGAGGAAAACACAGTCTTGATTTTTACCAGATCCTGAGTGTGAAAAACGCCAATCACTTGTTTTTAAAAGTTTAAAAGTTTAACAGTAATAAAATGGTTTTAAAAAATGTAATACAATTAGAGTAATAATAATTTGGACAATTTGAATTAGGACAATATGAGACAATAGAGACAAAGAATTACAGACAGTCCAGGGTACCTTTTCTGGGCAGCACGAGCCTGAAAAAGGCCCCACATTAACAGAGGATTTACCCTTAAAAGCAACAGCCTGTTGCATATTCGTACAGCTCATCCATGATGCATAAATTCCATTCAAACACAGGATTCTGGCTGGGCAGTGTCAGCTTCTTCCTCTGAATCCTCACAGCACCTTTGAGGTGGGAAGAAGTTCATTTCTCCTGATAATGGAGCAATAAATTCTCTTTCTCTGAAAGATTCAGGTGTCCTGTGGCTGCTATCTCAGTGCAAGTCCTTTCTTTAGAAAAAGAATGGATCCTACATTGCATCGTTTCTATTTTAACATTTTGTTATAACCTAAAACTATATTTAACACACTACTTAAGAGAATTAACCCAGCATCACTTTCTAACATAACACATACAATATTCATTTGAATATTTGCAAGAAGCCAGTCGTAAAATTCATGCATTTTTCACAGCGACATTTCCAAAGTCGTGTTCTGCTGGTGCCCAGTGACTCCCGCTGCTCCTGCAGCTCTGGCCTGCCCAGGGGTGCCCCAGAATGTCCCAAGTGATGCTGCTGGCTGCTGTGCGCGGCTCTGACCCCACATTCCTGTGTTTGTGTCTCTGCCCCCCGAGGCAGCAGGTCCCAGCGATTCCTACACGGACTACGTGGCCACGCGCTGGTACCGCAGCCCGGAGCTGCTGGTGGGGGACACCCAGTACGGGCCCCCCGTGGACGTGTGGGCCGTGGGCTGCGTGTTCGCCGAGCTGCTCGCGGGGCTGCCCCTGTGGCCCGGCCAGTCGGACGTGGATCAGCTGTACCTGATCCGCAGAACCCTGGGTGAGCGTCCACACACTGCCCTGGGGGCTGGGAGGGAGGGAGGGAGGGAGGGAGGGATGATGGATGATGGATGGATGGATGATGGATGGATGATGGATGGATGGATGGATGGATGGATGATGGATGGATGGATGGATGATGGATGGATGGATGGATGATGAATGGATGGATGATGGATGGATGGATGGATGGATGGATGGATGATGGATGGATGGATGCATGGATGGATGGATGATGGATGGATGGATGGATGGATGGATGGATGATGGATGGATGGATGGATGATGGATGGATGGATCTATGGATGATGGATGGATGGATGATGGATGGATGGATGGATGGATGGATGGATGATGGATGGATGGATGGATGGATGGATAATGGATGGATGGATGGATGGATGGATGGATAATGGATAGATGGATGGATGATGGATGGATGGATGGACAGATCTATGGATGATGGATGGATGGATGGATGGATGGATGGATGGATGGATGATGGATGGATGATGGGTGGATGGATGGATGGATGGATGGATGATGGATGGATGGATGGATGGATGGAAGGATGATGGATGGATGGATGATGGATGGATGGATGGATGGATGGATGGATGGATGATGGATGGATGATGGATGGATGATGGATGGATGATGGATGGATGGATGGATGGATGGATGATGGATGGATGATGGATGGATGGATGGATGATGGATGGATGGATGGATGATGGATGGATGGATGGATGGATGGATGGATGGATGATGGATGGATGGATGGATGGATGATGGATGGATGGATGGATGGATGGATGGATGGATGGAGGGATGGATGGATGGATGATGGATGGATGGATGGATGGATGGATGGATGGATGATGGATGGATGGATGGATGGATGGATGGATGATGGATGGATGATGGATGGATGCCTGGATGGATGGATGGATGGTGGATGGATGGATGGATGGATGATGGATGGATGGATGGATGGATGGATGGAGGGATGGATGGATGGATGATGGATGGATGATGGATGGATGGATGGATGGATGGATGATGGATGGATGGATGGATGGATGGATGATGGATGGATGATGGATGGATGGATGGATGGATGGATGATGGATGGATGATGGATGGATGGATGGATGGATGGATGGAGGGATGGATGGATGGATGATGGATGGATGATGGATGGATGGATGGATGGATGATGGATGGATGATGGATGGATGGATGGATGGATGGATGGAGGGATGGATGGAGGGATTCCCTGTGCGGTGGGAATGGGGAGGAGCCAGGTGGGGTTTGCAGGGTCACAGGATGAGGGAGGAGATGAGAGTCTTGATTCCATGTTTCAGAAAGCTGATTCATTATTTTATATAAAATAATAAATATTATAAAATATAAAATAAATATAAATATTATAATATAAATATATATTTCCATATTATATAAATATATTAATAAATCTAATTCTATGTGACCGTATTCACAGGGGTCTCAGGATGAGGGAAGAGACGAGGATCTGACTCCATGTTTCAGAAGTCTGATTTATTATTTTTTGATATATATTATATTAAACTATACTGAAAGAATAGAAGAAAGGATCTCATCAGAAGGCTGGCTAGGAATAGAATAGGAAGGAATGATAACAAAGGTTTTTGGCTCGGCTCTGTGTCTGAGCCAGCTGACTGTGATTGGCCATTAATTAGAAACAACCACATGAGACCAATCCCAGATGCACCTGTTGCATCCCACAGCAGCAGATAACCATTGTTTGCATCTCATTTCTGAGGCCTCTCGGCTTCTCAGGAGGAGAAATCCTGAGGAAAGGATTTTTCATAAAATGTGTGTGTGACAGCCAGGGGGGATTCAGCCAGCAGATCTCTCCCTGTAGGAGGTGCTGGTTGATTGGAGGTGTTCCTGCCATGGTGTGCATGTGCTGACAGGCTCCCAGTGAACCAGTGAATGGGGATCACTGCCTGGAACCATCCCTCACTGTCCTCACCCTCTGGGAAGCTGGGGCTCTGCAGGGCAGATGAGGAAGGATGTGGGTTGTGTTTGGTGACCCCTGGGTGCCCCTCCTGGTCCCTGCTGGGGTGGGGCAGCACAGCAACTTCAGCTGTCTCCACACAGACAGAGGCATGAGGTGCCTGTGTCAGAAAGGACCAGGAATGTTTGCATAAAGGTTCACAAGGTCCAGGTGTTTGTTCAGGGTTTGGTACCAAACACAGGGGTCCGTGAACAGCTGGATTGAGCTCATCCCAGCTTGGGAGGTCTCAGAAGTGTTGTCAGTGCCTGTTGATGGCTGTGTCCTGAGGAGTGTGAGCACCACAGCTTGTCTGTTCCACGTGTTTCTTGCTGTTCATCAATGAATTCAGGAGCCTCTCTGTTAAATAAAAGAGTCATTATCCCCCATAACACTTAAACTAACCCAGCCCCATTGATTCCTTTCAGTTTTGCTGTGTAACATCTGATTTCTTGGGTGACAACAATCCCCCACTTTTCACTGAGATTTGTTGGAACAAACAGAGAGTTGTAATTTTAACTGAGCAGTTTATAAACCTGCAAAGGTGACTAATGGCTTTAAACAGATAAACTCCTCAGCTAGAAAAACAGCTCATCACTGATTCCTTCATCCTCCAGAATTCATGAATGCCAGTGTTAGGCAGTTATAATTTATTTTTAATGGCAGGGTTTCAGCCAGAGGAGATTCCCATGGATTGTTGGCTCCAGGTGCTGGAGTGAGGCAGAGCAAAGCTCCTTGACTGAAGCTGAGCCATTGTGGGTTGGCATTGGATGGCTCCTTTGCTATGGATTTGATTTTAACATTTTCCTTGCTCTGGGGTGCTCTGAGCTTCAGAAATGCTGCCCTGGGGAGAAGCTGCAGCAGGTTCAGAGCTGTGCTCCAGCTCTGTCCTGCACAGCACCCTCAGCATTGTCCAAAGAGAATTTCACCCAAAAGGAGTTAAATTCTCCTGAACACTTGTGTGCCTGCCTTTCCTTCAGCACAGTCACACGGGTGTGGGATCACTGGTGTCCCAAATGGACATTAATTGTCATTAATTGTCATTAATTGTCACAAAGAACATTGCCTTGGCTCACCTGGTGATGCTGCTCCTCTTCAGATGCTGCCTTGGGTGGCATCAGCCTTGTTAGAGGATATAACCACGTTCAATGCAGGCACTGTAAAATTAAGCAAATTACTCCAATTTTTTTTTCTCTTTTAAATTCTTGGTTGAAGGGGATCTCATTCCCAGGCACCAGCAAGTGTTCAGCACCAACCAGTTCTTCAGTGGGGTAAGAATTCCAGACCCAGAGATCATGGTAAGAGCTGCCTTCCTGCACTTCCCTCCTTCCCACCCTGCCCTGTCCTTTGCTGTGCTGTGTTTTTCCCTGCCCAAAAACTGTGTCCTCTACTCTGCCAGTGTGCACCAGCGTATTATTTGGAGGTGGCTGAACCTCTCAGGACATTTTAACTTACAGTCTGTGTAAAAGCAGTCATAAAATGTTTAATTTATGCTGCTTTTCCTCATTTCTGGTGGCACATCCTCAGAGCTGCCAGGCCTCTGAGCACATGGAGTGAGGGAGGCGTTTTGTGAGGAACAGGTCATGTTCCTATGGAAAGCTGGGTCTTGGTACCTGCTGAATGAAAAGTTTGCTAATATGAGTCCATCCACTGTTTCTTTTTCCCTGCAGGAACCATTGGAAGTGAAATTCCCCAATATTTCATACTCTGCACTGGCTCTCATGAAGGTGAGGACACTCCAGCTCGGGGAGGAGCCCAGCCCTGCGATAAACAAATCATCTGGTGGGAGAGTCTGGGACTGAGTCTGAGATTCACACCTGGTTTGCTGCCCCATGTGATTGCAGCTGTTCCTTGAGCCACAATTCCTGCCGCAGCTGTGGATTGTCCATCCCTGGCAGCGTCCAAGGCCAGGCTGGGCAGGCTCAGAGCAGCCTGGGACAGGGAAGGGGTCCCTCCCAGGGCAGGGGGTTGGAACAAGATGGTCTTTAAGGTCCCTTCCAACCCAAACCATCGCATGGTTAATTCTTGTAGTTGTTGGATAATTGGCTGCTCCTCAAGCTTCGTGCTGGCTCTGAACAGGCACTCCTAGAATCCATTAAAGTTACTAACACGTGTAGCTGTGGGAATGCTCCTGGGCTGTGTGGGGAGCACAGGAGCTGTGCAGGGCTGGGCAAGCAGTGCTTTGTGTCATCCTCCGTCTTTTGAAGGGCTGCCTTCGGATGGACCCCGCGGAGAGGCAGAGCTGTGAGCAGCTGCTGCAGCACCCCTACTTTGACAGCCTGAGGGAGGCAGCAGAGCTGGGCAGGGAGCACCAGAGGGGCTCGCAGAAAGCAGCCAGGCTGCCTCGGAGGCACCTGCCGGGGGTAAGGCCTCCATGGTGTTCGGTGTCCCCCTGAGGAGGGGCTGCTCTCCTGTGGGCTGTGCTGGCACTCAGGGGGTTGGGCTGCTCTGGGTCCTGTCCCGAGGGGAAAACAGCCCCTGGCTAAAGAGTAACTCTGTACAAAGTGCATTGTGCACTGCGGGGCCCTGGGGATAAACAGCTCAGCCCTGGCACAGTAACGTTCATCCAGGAATGTGCATTCCTGACAGAGAGCAGCAGCAGGGCTGCACAAACTGCACACTCTCAGTGGTTTAATTTTGAGTGCTCAGGTGCTTTTTAATCCTGAATTATGGAGATGGAATAAACACCACTTGTGTTTGTAGCAGTTCCACACCTTACCCCCTGCACTGGGTGTTTCTGGAGCTGCCAAGCAAATGTCTCCCTGCTGCTCTGGCTTTTCCAGACTCCATCCCAAGTCCCCAAATGCAGCCTCACAATGCCCCTCACTCCACAGTGCTTTATTTCTGGGAGCCACATTCCCCATGGCAGCTCTGAGGCTGAGCTGGGAACAGGCAGGAGGTTGGAGGTGAGGGAGGGAGAATTGTGTAGAGGCCAATCACACTGATTGGCCTCTTCCATTTCTGTCACCTGGGATATTGTTCTTGCCTAATGGAATTCTTTAATAAATCCAGTGATAAAGCCCCAGAATCTTAGCCTGGAAAGTACAGGATTACAGTAGGAATAGTTTCATAGCTCATATTCTGTGTGAAAATTGAATCCATGTGTGCTTTATTCCCATTCCAAACAAATAGACACGGTGTAACTTTTCCTTTAGTTACAGTACCTGCCTCAGCTGACCTGCAGCAAAGTTCTCCCAGCTTTGGACAGCAAGAAGAACTGCTGCAAGACAAGGAAATCAAAGTACCACTTCCCAAACATCTGACCAGGTGGCACAGCAAAACTCAGTTGATCGAAGTCATCCGGGATTTATAAATGGAGGATGCACAGTGGAAAACTAAATTACAAAAATTCTGGCATGTACAGAGTGATCTGTCTGTACTCTGGGTCACTGGTGGAGAGGAAGTGATGCAGGAACAACTCCAAGCTCCTCTTAGTGCTCTGTGTACAAGGCAAATGCATTCTGCTTTCATTCCTGATTGCCTCCTGGTGCAGGATTACCCAGCCCAGTGCTCACAGAATGAAATTTAAATCTCTGTCCCTGCATTTCAGACTTGGCAGGAGAGCTCCACCTTGCCAAATCCACCAGTCCCTCCTGCTTTGGGCTGGGCCCGGGTCCCTGCTGTGTGAGGAGCTGTGCCTGTGCTGCTGAAGGGCTGCAGCTGTGTGCGTGCAGCCCAGGCTGGAGGGGCTGCCTGGCTGCTCCAGGGAGGTCTCAGTTCCAGAGGCACCAGGAGAGCAGAGCACCAACACCCCTGCTGTCTTTTTAGTCTTCCCAGAGCTCCTCCTGCAAGTTTCATCCTTAAATTCTCCTTCTGACAAGAGTGAGGGCACTTGCTTGTAGTTACAGAAATGATTTTATCAAAGCTAATCATGGATGTAATTTATAACATTGGCCAGACACAGGCAGGAATTCTACCTAAGTGTTTGTATTAGAACGAATGGGGTTTGTGGAATCTCAGAATTTAATGTTGTGATGATTTTGAATAAAAGAAATGTAGCTTCTTTTTCCAATTTACTGGAGGTATTTTGCTGTATAAAACTTTACTACTGGGCAAGAACATCCTCTTTTTACTGACACTTAGAGCAAAAATGTTTTGCCAGTAAATTTTGTGTTCCACAGCAGTAAAAGCCCTTTCAGTGGGACAGATGCCATGGCCTGTGTGTGCCCATTGGCCTTCTGTCTCCTTCCACATGGAAAACATCTCTGAGCCAGCACTGTGCATTGACTGCTTGAAGTCACTGCCTGCTGCCCTTCCCTAGCCCCAAACCAGGGATCTGAGTGAAAATGCTGAGCTCTCGCTGAGGATGAGCCATTCCCACTGTGCTGGCACCGGTGAGGCCCCACCTCCAATCCTGGGTGGAGGTGAGTCTCTCACAAGAAAGGATTGAGGGGCTGGAGGATCCCTGAGGGAGCTGGGCAGGGGCTGCAGAATCCCTGAGGGAGCTGGGCAGGGGCTGCAGAATCCCTGAGGAGCTGGGCAGGGGCTGCAGAATCCCTGAGGAGCTGGGCAGGGGCTGCAGAATCCCTGAGGAGCTGGGCAGGGGCTGCAGAATCCCTGAGGGAGCTGGGCAGGGGCTGCAGAATCCCTGAGGAGCTGGGCAGGGGCTGCAGAATCCCTGAGGGAGCTGGGCAGGGGCTGCAGAATCCCTGAGGAGCTGGGCAGGGGCTGCAGAATCCCTGAGGAGCTGGGCAGGGGCTGCAGAATCCCTGAGGAGCTGGGCAGGGGCTCAGCCTGGAGCAAAGGAGGCTCAGGGGCCCTTGTGGCTCTGCACAGCTCCTGCCAGGAGGGCACAGCCGGGGGGGTCGGGCTCTGCTCCAGGGAACAGGGACAGGAGCAGAGGGAACGGCCTCAGGCTGCACTGTGAAGCTTTAGCTTTGCTGGAGAATTCCTTCCTGAAAGGTTTGTCCAGCCCTGGCACAGCTGTTCAGGGCAGTGCTGGACTCACCATCCCTGGAGGGAGGTAAAAGCCACATGGATGTGGCACGTGGGGACACAGGGCACTGGTGGCCTTGGCAGTGCTGGGGAACATTTGGACTCCCATGGTCTCAGAGGACTTTTCCAACCTCAGCAATTCTCAATGGCTTTTCTGTCTCAGGAGGGATGGGGATGCAGCTCCAGAGCTCACAGAGCTGCTGCAGGCCATCAGCACTCACCAAAGGGTGCCCAGGGCTGTGTCCCAGAGCTGCTGCTCCTGCACAAACAGCCTGCTTCCCTCAGCAGCTCAGTGCTCTGAGGGGTGGCCCTGCCTGCCTGCACATCACCGAACCAGACAAACTCCAAGTGTGAAGAACACAAAAAAACCCCAGAACCTCTTTATTAATCAGCACCCACCTACTGGGTGAGATCTGCCAGAGGAACAGCACCAGGCACTGACCACACACCCCCCGACGTTCCCCCAGGGCCACTCTGCTTCTGTGCAATGAAACACTGAGAACTCCTCACTGAGGTGTCCAGAGCTTGCTACAAAAACAGCAAACAGATGCCTACGTGCAGAGCCCTGCCCTGTCTGCTGTTGATCCTCCACTGAGTTTAAGCTCAATAAAAATTAATTGCATGATTTCTTAAAAGGTCACATCCACCTGTGGGGCTGGACTGGGAGAGCTGGGCTTATGGAAGCACAGGGGTGTCTACAACTTCACTGATGCAAAATGACACAAACCCTAGGGAACACATCTCAGTTGTGTGCTGCTGTGTTTATTCCAAATCCAGCTCCAGCTCCAGCTTGGGCAGTGCCTGCTGAAGGACACGGCAGGTTCTTTCCTTCTCTCTGATCCCAGGAAGGTCACTCAGATACAAATATTTCAGGTTCCTGTAAATATTCAAAAAGAAAACTGACAGCTAGTATTGAATTGCTGACAGAGAAATTGGAGAAATTATTCTACTGCAGCTGTTTTGAGTATTTTAAATGGTGACTGGGATTTTTGGTATTTTAACTGGTTCTGCCGGAAGTTTATTTCTGAAGTGGGTGTTTGGGGTTTTTAGCTGCAGTGCCCAATTGCACCCAGGTCTGTCCCAGACCCTGAGGAAGCTGTGAGGTGGACAAGCACTGAAAGCTACAGGACACAGCCAAACCTGTGACTGTGTGGAGCTGTGCAGAGCTGCTGAGGAGAGGGCTCAGAACAGCAGCCAAGCTGATCATTCGTTACTTATCCTTGAGCCCACCCAGCCACCCCAGAGCCCCCGCAGGCAGCACAGTCCCAAATCCCAACCCCAATCCCAGTCCCAAATCCCAATCCCAGTCCCAATCAAAGTTCCAATCCCAGTCCCAATCCCAGTCCCAGTCCCAATCCCAGTCCCAGTCCCAATCCCAAATCCCAATCCCAGTCCAAGTCCCAGTCCCAGTCCCAATCCCAGTCCCAACCCCAATCCCAGTCCCAACCCCAACCCCAGTCCCAATCCCAGTCCCAACCCCAATCCCAACCCCAATCCCAGTCCCAATCCCAACCCCAATCCCAGTCCCAATCCCAATCCCAGTCCCAACCCCAACCCCAATCCCAGTCCCAACCCCAATCCCAATCCCAGTTCCAATCCCAACCCCAATCCCAGTCCCAGTCCCAATCCCAACCCCAATCCCAGTTCCAACCCCAACCCCAATCCCAGTCCCAGTTCCAATCCCAGTCCCAGTCCCAACCCCAATCCCAACCCCATTCCCAGTCCCAATCCCAACCCCAATCCCAACCCCAGTCCCACTCCCACTCCCAATCCCAACCCCAGTCCCAGTCCCACTCCCAGTCCCCCAGAGCAGTGGCAGCCCCGTGCCCGACGCACGCCAGCCTGTGCAGTGCCAGGATGCCTGTGTCGGTGACGTTGCCACAGGAGATGATCTTCAGCTGCTGCAGGCTCCTCTGGAGGGTGCTGGTCTCGCTGAGCCTCTGCAGGCACTGGTCCTGGATGTACATGCACTTCTCCAGCCTGATGTCCCTGACGTGCTCCAGGCCATCTGCAGGCACAGGGCAGGCTTTGCTCCACAGCCCCAGCCTGACACTACAGGGATAAAATGTTTCTAAAAGCACGGAGTATGCAGGGGAGTTAGACAGGAAGGACAGCCCTGCAGGCCCTGGGAAATGTCAGGCTGCACCTGCATAATCACTGAATGACCATGAAAAATGACAGGATTGTTAGGTGCAATGATTGTTTGGTAATTGGACATAATTATTGTTCAATGCTAACAAGAATAATGAGAAACGATGTTGGGGTTTGATGGGAATTACAAAATCCATGCTTGGATGAAATCAATGTGTACAACAGAACAATAGAAGTTTAATAACTAATATGTAGTTATATAAGGATAAAGGTATAAAACCATGTTCATCCTGAAGCCATGTTAAGAGTCAGGTTTGGGTCTGTGCCCCTGACACCCAGAGCTCTCCAGTAAAAGCAATAAAAACACAGAATCATTCCCTGGTTTTGTGCCCCTGAACACAAACAAGCCTGTGCTGGTTGTTAAATTCTCAATTCAGTAACTGCCCCCCAAACCACCCAGCAACACATCCCTTCATACAGGGGGCTGTACCACACAATCAATCTCCAAAGTCCTTCAGATTTAGGAAAACCTCAGGGTTTGAATTGTTTCAGTAAGATTTCAAGAGCTTTGAAATGGGCAAGTAACACAAACCTACACAATTTTGGGTAAGAAACAATGACTGACATAAGAAAGTGCAAATGGCAGAAATTCAGGGTCCCTTGCTATGAACAGCCTGTTCCCATTTTGGTTTCTGTTACTTAAAGACCACCTGAAACACTTGTTTAATCTCTTATTTTTAAGAGAATCTCTTTTTTATTTGTCTTTGAAGACATCATAAATGCCTGGATAATGAGCAGAATTACAACTTCAGAGACACCAAAATCATCCCTTGGTGCAGAAGAAAAATAGTATTTTTAGTGCTTTTTGCTACGAACTCCTCAAAATTTGTGGCACTTCCTTAGTGCTATGGTCACATCAGGTAAAAGCTGAAATTCCCAAAGTCTTTCCATTTCATACCACACCTCCAGCAAAACCTTGGGGACTGATAAATATTTATAAAGGGGAAAAAAAAAAATCACAAATTATTTATCAGTATCTAGCTAAGGAATGAGAAAATGACACCATTATTCATATTTTGATGCAATTCAAATGAAATCTATTAAGAACAATCACCACAATGTGAAAAATGCGGTTTTTATGATTGGCTTTTGGCAAATATTCAAATGAATATTGTATGTGTGGTGTTAGAAAGTTATGCTGTGTTAATTCTCTTAAGTAGTGTGTTAAATAGAGTTTAGATTATAACATAATGTTAAAATAGAAACTGTGCTATGTAAGATACTTTTTTTTAAAGAATGGACTGGCAGTGAGATAGCAGCCACAGGACACCTGAATCTTTCAGAGAAAGAGAATTTATTGCTCCATTATCAGGAGAAATGAGCTTCTTCCTGCCTGGAATGCGCTGTCAGGATCCAGAGGAAGAAGCTGACACTGCCCAGACAGAATCCTGTGTTTGAATGGAATTTATGCATCATGGATGAGCTGTATGAATATGCAACAGGCTGGTGCTTTTAAGGGTTAATCCTCTGTGAACGTGGGGCCTTTTTTGGACTTATTTTGCCCAGAAAAGGTACCTAGACCCCCATAACTCTTTGTTTCTGCTGTCTCATATTGTCCTAATCCAAACTGTCCAAATCATTATTACCCTAGTTATATTACTATCTTTATAACCTATTAAACTTCTAAAATTCCAAACCCAAGCGAGACTGCCGTTTCCCCACGCGCACGTTACCCAGGTAGTCGAATCCTCTGTACATGATGCAGGAGTCGGTGGCGCTGATGGCCTCGATGCGGTACCTGCCCAGGGGCCCGCTGGGCAGCGCGTTGTAGTCCTGCTGCCACTTGGGCGAGCCCTGGTAGCGCACCAGGGCCCCGCAGCGCAGCAGCCACTCCGAGGCCGCCCGGTCCGGGCCCACCGCGCGGATGCGCTCGTGGTCCACCCTGCGGGCACACAGAGCACGCACCATTAGTCCTCGGGTAATGAAATGTTCCACAGCACATCTCTGGTTATGTGCACGGTCAGAAAAGTGAGGATGTGATTTACCACGAATGGTTCGCGGGTGAGTTTTGGACCGCGCGGTGTTTAATGTGAATAATGTGTATTTTGTGATTGGCTTTTGGCAAATATTCAAATGAATGTTGTATGTGTTGTGTTAGAAAGTGATGCTGTGTTAATTCTCTTCAGTAGTGTGTTAAATATAGTTTTAGTTATAACAAAATGTTAAAATAGAAACTGTGCTATGTAAGATACTTTTTTAAAGAAAGGACTCACACTGAGACAGCAGCCACAGGACACCTGAATCTTTCAGAAAGAGAAAGAAAATTTATTGCTCCATTACCAGGAGAAATGAACTTCTTCCTGCCTCACTCGGGCAGGACGACACCACCAGGATCCATAGGAAGAAGCTGACACTGCCCAGCCAGAATCCTGTGTTTGAATGGAATTTATGCATCATGGCTGAGCTGTATGAATATGCAACAGGCTGGTGCTTTTAAGGGTTTATCCTGTTAACGTGGGGCCTTTTTCGGGCTTGTGCTGCCCAGAAAAGGCACCCGGAGTGTGCATAACTCTTTGTTTCTATTGTCTCATATTATCCTAATCCAAACTGCCCAAATTATTATTACTGTAATTGTATTACTATTTTTATAACCATTTTATTACTATTAAACTTTTAAAATTTTAAAAACAAATGATTGACGTTTTTCACATTAATCTGGTGTGAGGTTTTTTAACTTAAGTGGCAGATGCTCTTTAGAAAAAGAAGAATACAAATACACCTGGACTTAACTGTTTCCTTCCATGTCTGTAAGGAAAGAAAACAGTGCCACTGGTTAAGGTGAGTTTGGGGGTCAAGGAAGAGCAGGATTTAGGGATGGGATCCATGTGGCCGGGGCAGGGGCAGAGCCCGCACCTTGCTCTGGAAGGTCACGGCTTTGGAAGGGGAAGCAGACATGGAATGACCCCTTGCCAACAACCTGCATGCAATCTGGAGAGAAAGAGGAGCATTAATGACAGAAAACGTTTTCTGCAGCGTAGGGACTTGATTGTTCCGCTTCACAAACCGCGCAGAGAATTTGAGGGATCTGAAAGTTAATTATTAACCAGCGACTCACTCTTACTTGTTGAACACGGCATTCAGCCATCCCCAGAAGGATCTACAACTGCCCGGCGGCAGCGGCGGCTTCCTCAGGAGCGTCCCCAAGGCCATCATCACCTTGTCGCAGACGGGAGAGGGGAAAGGGAGCTGTTAGTCGGTGTTATTTGGTGTTATTTGCGGCACCGGGAGGTGGAGGCCGCGCCGCCCTCACGGCCTGAGCGGGGCTGGGACCCGGCGGGGCCCACGGCTGCAGGGGGGCCGGCACCGCCCCCGGGCTGCCCCCGGCGCCCAGAGGCCGAACCTTGCCCGGCCGAGCGGAGCGGAGCAGGAGGGCAGGGGCAGCAGCAGGAGGGACAGGGGCAGCAGCAGGAGGGACAGGGGCAGCAGCAGGAGAAGGAGGAGAGGAGAAGAGGAGGAGGAGGAGAGAAGGACGGGCGGCCCCGGCGGTCCCTCCGCCCCCAAGATGGCGGCGGCGCTGAGGGGCCGCGCGGGCCCGGGCGGGGCCCCGGCGCTGTGGCGGCTCCAGAGCCGGCGGCAAAGGTGAGGCCGGGGGGCAGCGGCACACACCGGCACACAGCGGCACCTTCCCCTAACCCTGTATCTTCCCTTGTCCCAGTCACCGTCACCTTATTCCTGTCCCCCTTCCCCTCACCCCTTCCCCTAACCCTGTATCGTCCCTTGTCCCAGTCACCGTCACCTTATCCCTGTCCCCCTTCCCCTCACCCCTTCCCCTCTCTTTTTACTTTATCCACTTCCCTGTTCCTTTTTGTGAAAAATGCGTGTTTTATGATTGGCTTTTCGCAAATATTCAAATGAATATTGTATGTGTTGTGTTAGAAAGTGATGCTGTATTAATTCTCTTAAGTAGTGTGTTAAATATAGGTTTAGGTTATAACAAAATGTTACAATAGCAACTATGCTATGTAAGATACTTTTTTTAAAGAAAGGACTCACACCAGATAGCAGGCACAGGACACCTGAATCTTTCAGAGAAAGAGAATTTATTGCTCCATTATCAGAACAAACTTCTTCCTGCCTTGCTCAGGGTTGGAGACGCCGTCAGGATCCATAGGAAGAAGCTGACACTGCCCAGCCAGAATCCTGTGTTTGAATGGAATTTATGCATCATGGATGAGGTGTATGAATATGCAACAGGCTATTGTTTATAAAGGTTAATCTTCTGTTAACGTGGGGTTTTTTTCGGGCTTATTTTGCCCAGGAAAGGTACCTGGACTGTCTGTAACTCTTTGTTTTATTGCCTCATATTGTCCTCATATTGTCCCAATTTGGACATCCAAATTGTCTAAATTATTATTAGTCTAATTGTATTTCTATTTTTATAACATTTTATTACTATTAGACTTTTAAAATTTTTAAAACAAGTGATTGGCGTTTTTCACACTTTCCATATCATTTTCCCCGATCCTTTCCTCCGTCCCCTATCCCTCTCTCCTGTATCCTCTATGTTTGCTATATCACCTTTCCCCATCCCCTTTTCCTCTCTCCTTTATCCCCTATATTCTCTATAGCCACTTCCCCTATATCCTTTATCTGCCATCTCTATCCTTTACCCCTTTACATTATTAATTGCCCCTACCCCCTTTTCTCTATCTCGTTTTCCTCTCCCCTATATCCTCTTTATTCCTTATATCTCCTTCTTTTATATCCCTTTTCCCTGTCCTTTCCCCGTCCCCTTTCCCCTCTATTCCTGACATGCCCTTCCCCTATCCCCACCTTTTTCCCCTATCCCTGTTTGTGAAAAAACGCCAATCACTTGTTTTTAAAATTTTAAAAGTTTAATAGTAATAAAATGGTTATAAAAATAGTAATACAATTAGAGTCATAATAAATTGGATTAGGACAATATGAGACAATAGAAACAGAGTTACAGACAGTCCGGGTACCGAAGCCCAAAAAAGGCCCCACGTTAACAGAGGATTAACCCTTAAAAGCACCAGCCTGTTGCATATTCATGCAGCTCATCCATGATGCATAAATTCCATTCAAACACAGGATTCTGTCTGGGCAGTGTCAGCTTCTTCCTCTGAATCCTGACAGCACCTTTGAGGCGGGAAGAAGTTCATTTCTCCTGATAATGGAGCAATAAATTCTCTTTCTCTGAGAGATTCAGGTGTCCTGTGGCTGCTATCTCACTGCCAGTCCTTTCTTTAGAAAAAGTATCCTACATAGCATCGTTTCTATCTTAACATTTTGTTATAACCTAAAACTATATTTAACACACTGCTTAAGAGAATTAACACAGCATCACTTTCTAACACAGCACATACAATATTCATCTGAATATTTGTGAAAAGCCAAACACAAAATACTCGTTTTTCACACCATCCCTTGTCGCTGTCCCCGCAGCTCGTTCGACGTGGCCGTGGTTGGTGCGGGGATCGTGGGCCTGGCCACGGCCCGGGAGCTGCTGCAGCGCCACCCCTCGCTGGCCTTGGCCGTGCTGGAGAAGGAGCAGGAGCCCGGTAGGGAGCGGGACAGGGGACAGGGACCCGGGGGAGGCTGTGCCCGAGGTCACTCTGCCAGAACCTCAGCGCCCCATGGATATCTGTGTGCAGGGAGCAGTGGCTGTGGGAGAGCAGCTGCCCTTGTTGTTGAAGTGGGTGATGGATTTCCCATTTCCAGGCCAGGCTGGACAGGGATTGGAGCAGCCTGGGATAGTGGAAGGTGTCCCTGAGCATGGCAGGGCTGGGATGAGGTGATCTCTTTAGTGGTGATCTCTAAAGTCCCTTCCATGCCAAACCATCGTGGAATTCTGTGCTGGCTCTCACAGAATTCACAGAATCCCTGGGCTGGGAGAGACCTTCAGGATCATCGAGTCCAACCCAGCCCCAACAGCTCAGCTCACCCCTGGCACCCAGTGCCACATCCAGGCTTTGTTAAGCACACCCAGGGATGGGGACTGCACCACCTCCCCAGCAGCCATTCCAGAACTTTGTCACTCTTTCTGTAAAAAACTTTTTCCTGATATCCAACCTAAATTTCCCTTGGAGCAGCTTGAGACTGCATGTCAGTGCCAAGGCTGTCCCCTAACAGGGATTTCTTTCACCCTTCTCCCAAGGATGTGTCCTTCAGCAGAGTTTCATCAGTCTGTGCTTCTCTGCTGAGGCTGCAGATTGGGAATTTTGGGTTCAAATCTCCTGTGCAAGCTGCAGTGGGACTGCTGGGGCTGCAGCAGCTCAGGAATGGCAGGAGAGAGGATGAGGGGGAGTAACCAGGGTAAGGAATAGTGCGGCTTGTGGGAGGGCACAGGCAGGTTCTGCATGGAGCTGGCAGAATCCCAAGGTGTAGACATCAGTGATTAACTCCAAACAGGACCTGTGAGCCCAAAATCTTGTCTGAAATAGCTCCATCAGCCTATGGAGATATGGGGATAAAAATGACTTTTTATCCCCAAGACACACAGCTGTGGGAGTGCCAAGCAGGAGTGACCTTTGGGCATCCACATCTTAAAGAGGGAGAGGAACCTGACCAAATTACTTCAGTAAAAGTATTTATGGTATTTTTCACCTCTATTTTATCTATTTGCAAAGAGGAAATAACAACTTAATCCAGTTCACAAATACTCAAAAATCCTCCCAGGCCTGCCAGCACATCCAAAGGAATTGTGGATTGGACAGATATTATGTTGGATGAGGCCCTAAGAGATGCATTTTGTTGTAAAAATTGGATTTTAAAATTGAATTTCAGCCTGTTTTGATTGATTGGTTTGTTCTTGAAGGAAAAATTTGTTGTTTTAGGGTTTTTTTCCCTGTTGGTCCAACACAGTGCAGGCTGTGATGGATTATCATTAACCAGGGCTGGCTGTGTCAGTGTTTCTGTGACCTTTTGAGGCCAGGGCAGGAATTAATTGTGCAGCTCTCTCACTTCATCATGTCCTATAATGCTGATTTAAGGCAGGACCTCAGTTCACTCGTGTTTCTGACAGCAGGAGTGGTTCACTGGGAACAATGAGTTCTAACAATGTGTTTTCCTTTCTCCCCAGCCCATCACCAGAGTGGCCACAACAGTGGAGTGATCCACAGTGGGATTTACTACAGCCCCGGCTCCCTGAAGGCCAGGCTGTGCGTGCAGGGGGCAGCCCTGTGCTACAGATACTGTGACCAGAAGGGCATTCCCTACAAGCAGTGTGGGAAGGTACAGGAGGGCTGGGGTTCCCTGCTTCACCTGCCAGCTGAGGCTCTGTGGTGTGTGCTGCCAGGCCTGCTTGTGGGTTTTCTCCTCACTCTCCCAGCCGCAGATAATTTTGTACATCAATGTGTGTCATGTCCACAATCCCCTCCTGCCCCCAGGTCATCCCTTGCAGTTTGAGCGAAGGTTTTTCATGATCTCCCCACGCTGTCTTCATGCTCTGAGCCATTTTTAATTCAGTGTCTTTGGTGCAAGGTGAGGACCAGGGCTGGGCAGAGCGTGCCAGGTGTGGTCAGGCTCAGTGAAACAGAGTTCTGTCTCCATTTCCCAGTGTTCCTAACACTCAGTTCAGGTTTTCCACCTCTCACTGGGCATTGAGCTGCTGTTGCCACAGGATTCTCTGTCCTGACCCCAAGGCCCTGAGGGATAAATTTGAATTCCAGGATTTTCTGGGAGCTGTCCATGCTGCCTGTGCTGCCAGGCTGGGCACAGGGTGGCACTGTGGCTCTGTGCAGCAGCACCCCTGAGGGGACAGCCTGCTCAGAGCTGTCCTCAGGGGCTCAGCTGGAGCCTGGGGCAGCTGAATTTGTGTATTTTGTACCAAGGTGTCCAAGGCATCTCCACTGGAGCACAGATACTTGCATGTATCTGTGTATATGTATATATGTATGTATATACCTAGCAAAAACCAGCAGTAAGGTCAGGACTAAGTCTTTTGTCCTTGGGTGTGTGTGGCAACCATCTGGACATCTTCAGTGTCATCCTTTTAAGAGCTACAAGAACCTGAAATTTGATGGATGATTGGTTGATGATTTATGATCATGGTTTATATTTTTGCAGGGTGGCAGCAGGAGCAGGGCAGGGCTTGTCCCCTGTGCTGGCACTGCTGGGCCACCTCCAGTGCTGGGGACAGCTCTGGGCTCCTCCCAGCAAAGGCACAGCAGGGGCTGGAGCTGTCCAGGGAAGGGAATGGAGCCCCAGGAGAGGCTGAGGGAGCTGGGCAGGGGCTGCAGAATCCCTGAGGAGCTGGGAAGGGGCTGCAGAATCCCTGAGGAGCTGGGCAGGGGCTGCAGAATCCCTGAGGGAGCTGGGCAGGGGCTGCAGAATCCCTGAGGAGCTGGGCAGGGGCTGCAGAATCCCTGAGGAGCTGGGCAGGGGCTCAGCCTGGAGCAAAGGAGGCTCAGGGGCCCTTGTGGCTCTGCACAGCTCCTGCCAGGAGGGGACACAGGGACAGGAGCAGAGGGAACGGCCTCAGGTCACACTGTGAAGCTTTAGGTTTGGTATTTATTGGGGAAATTCCTTCCTGAAAGGTTTGTCCAGCCCTGGCAGTGCTGGACTCCCCATCCCTGGGGGGATTTATAGTCCCTGTGGATGTGGCACGTGGGGACACGGAGCAGGGGTGGCCCTGGCAGTGCTGGGGGATCAGTTGGGCTCTCAGAGAGCTTTTCCAGCCTGAACAATTCCACAATTCCCTGGCACTCCCTGGCAGCTCATTCCAGGGGGGATCATGGTGGAGCTTCCCCAGCTTTCCCTGGAGCAGCCCCAGGCTTGGAGAGCTTCCCCTGGGAGGTGCCAGAGCTGAGCAGGATCATGGGCTGTGCAAAGCTGGCACAGGGGATTCTGTCTGCATTTATCTCCTCAGATGGCTGTGAGCAGACTCCTTGGTTAAATGAAACTGGTACAATTCCACTCAGGCCATGTCAGAACATGTCCCCACTCTCTTATCAAAGCTCTTGGAGGTTCGTACATCTTGGGTTCAGTTCAGTTTTGTTTTTGAAAGCATCCCAGTGGTTCTTCAAATTCAAATTCTCTTCCTTCTCATGAAGACTTGTAGTCTCAGTCTGCTTCTGGCAAATATTGTCAATTGATTGTAACTCAAACTGCAGTTTAGCATTTCTTTTTTAATTCTCTGTGCTGTATTTATTAGTGCTTCCTGCAACAGAATTCTGTGCAGTTAATGGCACCAACCATTGTTCACCCCTGGATTCATTGTTCACTCATTCCTGCTGCTTGTGCTTGATGCCAGAGCTGCCCTGCTCTGTTTTTCTCACTGCTGTTCCTTTGTTCCTTCCCCAAGCTGATTGTGGCTGTGGAGCAGGATGAGATCCCAAGGCTCAAAGCTCTGTACGAGAGGGGGCTGCAGAACAATGTCCCAGGGCTGAAACTCATTGGGGCCAAGGAAATCCAGGAGAAGGAGCCCTTCTGCAGGGTAAGGGCTTGCCATCCTTCTCTTTGCCTTGTAGGAGCTGTTTCTCAGGTGAAAACATCTTTTAATTTAACACAAATACATTTCTGGCCTTGAGCTCCAAGTTCAGAAGAGCCTGGAAGTTCCTTCCCATCCATAAAAGTGTTTTTGGATCCAGCCCATTTCAGTGAGGTTGTTATGTAGCACTTCTCAGCCTGTTTATTTTCCCAGCAGGAGGAACGTGTGGAGTTTGTGGAATACAGATTTGTTATTGATTGTTCTGCCTTTGTTTGGAAGGAGAAGCTGGATGTGAATTCCCTGTGCTGTTTCAGCTGGCAGCTGTGACACTCAGGAGTGGTTGTAGATACAGAGAGAAGTTTTCTGGAAAACAATATTTTCATTTTCCCTGTAAACATTTTGGATCTGCTCCCTAAAACATCCTTGGAGTGTTCCAGATCCAGCTGAGCACAAGGAGGGACAGCAGCACTCCCTTCCCATGGCCCTGCAGACATTCCCAATGAAATATTCCAATTTTCACTTTTCCTCTGTGTCTCAAACCCTGCCAGGGACTGATGGCCCTGGACTCTCCCTACACTGGCATTGTGGATTACAAACAAGTGGCCCAGTCCTATGCCAGAGACTTCCAGGAAGCAGGGGGCACAATCCTGACTGGTTTTGAAGTCACAGACATGGAGATGGCCAAAGAAAGTCCTGCACAAAGTGAAGATGGTAAGGCTGCAATTTTTATTTTTTTCCCCTCCATTTACTACAAAGATTTTGTTCAAAGCACAATTTTTTAAACATTTCTGAATTTTTCTGTCTCCTGGGGATGAGAAAAAAGGCAAAATTATCTTAGTGAGAGCATTCAGCAAACTCACTTGGGGTTTTTTGTAGGTGGGTCACCCTTCTGCTGAAACAAGTGAGAGCAAAATGGAGAAATAAAGTTGTTCTCTCTTAAAATCAGATTTATCTGGATCTTGCATGTTTATTTTTGTGATAGTGATTTTCCTTATCCTGAAATCTTTGCTGGCACACAGAGGGAAGAATAAAGCCCCTATTAATTAATAAATAAATCCAGTCATGTCCAACAATTTAATGATGGCCAGAGCTGTTCTTACATAGCTTGGAGATATCCCAGAGGGAAATTCCTTCCTGTTCTGTCAGGTCTCTGGTGCCTGTTGCAGTAATTCCCTCTCTTGTCTAATTCCATTTCAGGGCTGAAGTACCCAGTCATTGTTAGGAGCAAAAAGGTAAGGCTGGAAAATAAATTCTCATTATTCCTTCCAGGAAGCTGCTTCTCCTTTTCAGATTTATTTTTCTTGTGAATTAATAATTAAGAAAAAAAAAAGATTAAAAATTTGCTGTGCAGCAACATGACCAGTTTGATAAAACAACTGCAATCAGCTCTTAACAATGAGGATGTCAAATAAATAAATAATAATGATGATGATGTAAAATATTAAACTATAACTGACATCCAACATCCCTTATCTGCTTTATTTGCACAATCTGATGCTGATACTTCCAAGAACTCCTTTATGACTCGTCCATCTGGTGACAAACACCAATTTTCATGTTTGCTTTTGGGCTCTGGCATCCACAAAGTGATAAGGAGGCTTTTAGCATCATTTTATTATAATTTTATTATCATTTTATTATCATTTTATTATCATTTTCTCATCAGAGCAGTGGCAGCTGCAGTTCCTGCAGTCAGGACTGTGCTTGTACCCCTTCACCTTCAGGAGGGAATGTCTGCCACAAAAACAACTCCACAACCCCTCTGGTCATTTTTAATTTAGTTCTGCTGCTTTTTTCTCCTCTATTTTTTGCTCTTTCATTAAAAAGCAGCTTCCAAAATCTGTTAACATTTTTTCCTCCAAATACTAGTGGTTTTTTTCCACTAAATACTGGGGTTTTTTTACACCAAATACTGGTGGGTTTTTTCCACCAAATACTGGGGTTTTTTCATGCAAATATTTTTCAGTTGAAAAAAAATCATATTTAAAAGCAGGTACTAAGCTAAATAAATAGATAATAATTTTTGATTTTTATTTATTTCTTTATTTAGATGCTAAAGGTGTTTAATATTTAGCAACTCTCCACACATTTACAGCTGTTCCCACCCTATGGGGTCAAATCATTGAACATCCTTATTTAACTTATTTAAATATGTTAATTTTTTTAAAAAAATAAGTTAAATAAATTTTATTTATTTAAATAAATTTATTTATTTAAATAAATAAAAGCCTTTGGGTTTTTCTGGGTGCAGGGATCAGTTTTTGGGCAGTGGCTGTGGGACAGCAGCTGCCCTTGTTGAAGTGGGTGATGGATTTCCCATTTTAAATAAGTTAATTGATTTTTATGTATTGATTAATTGGTTTATTTATAAGTTTTATTCATATTAATTGATTTATGGGTAAGTTTTTGATTTTGTGGAGAGCTGCTAAATATTAAACACCTTTACCATCTAAATGTGTGCTGTTCCTACTCTGTGGGGTCAAGTCAATGAACATCCTTATTTAACTTACTTAAATAAGTTTAATTTTTCAAAAAATAAGTTAAACAAATTTTATTCATTTAAATAAATTTATTTATTTAAATAAATAAAAGCCTTTGGGTTTTTCTGGGTGCAGGGATCAGTTTTTGGGCAGTGGCTGTGGGACAGCAGCTGCCCTTGTTGAAGTGGGTGATGGATTCCCATTTTAAATAAGTTAATTGATTTTTATATATTGATTTATGCATAAGTTTTATACTTAAATATGAATTGATTTAGGTACAAGTTTTTATTTTTATGTATTTATTTATTTAGATGGTAAAGGTGTTTAATATTTAGCAGCTCTCCACACCTGTGTGCTGTCAATTTATGTATGTGCTCTCACCCTGTGGGGTCAAATCAGTGAACATCCTTATTTAACCTATTGAAATAAGTTATATTTTTTAAAAAATAAGTTAAATAAATGTTATTTATTTAAAGAAATTTATTTATTTAATAAATAAATAAATTCAGCTGCCCTTGTTGTTGAAGTGGGTGATGGATTCCCATTTTAAATAAGTTAATTGATTTTTATGTATTGATTAATTGATTTATTTATAAGTTTTATACTTAAATATGAATTGATTTATGGGTAAGTTTTTGATTTTTCTGTATTTATTTATTTAGATGGTAAAGGTGTTTAATATTTAGCAACTCTCCACACATTTATAGCTGTTCCCACCCTGTGGGGTCAAATCAGTGACCATCCTTATTTAACTTACTTAAATATGTTAATTTTTTAAAAAATAAGTTAAATAAATTTTATTTATTTAAATAAATGCCTGTGGGTTTTTTTCTGGGTGGTTTTTTTTATAGTGATAAATAGAATTTTGATGTGTTTTTGGTTTTTTTTATAAGTTAAGTAAATATTTTTTTAATACGTTAAATAAATTTTATTTATTTTAATGAGTGCCTGTGGGTTTTCCTGGGTGTTTTTTTAGCAGTTATATAGAATTTTATGTGTTTTTTTTTTTTTTAATAAGTTAAATAAATTTTATTTATTTAAATAAATGCCTATGGGGGTTTTCTGGGTAGTTTTTTGCAGATAAATAGAATTTTGATGTTTTGGGGTTTTTTTTTAATAAGCTTTTAAATGCCTGTGGGTTTTTCTGGGTGTTTCTCTTAGCCGATAAATAGAATTTTGATGTGTTTTTTTTAATAAGTTAAATAAATTTTATTTATGTAAATAAATGTCTGTGGGGTTTTTCTGGGTGTTTTTTAGCAGATAAATAGAATTTTGATTTTTTTTAATAAGTGAAATAAATTTTATTTATTTAAATAAATGCCCGTGGGGTTTTCCTGGGTGTTTTTCTTAGCCGATAAATAGAATTTTGATGTGGTTTTTTTTCTATAAGTCCAATAAATGTTATTGATTTAATTCTATTTATTAATTTCATTTATTAATTGAATTTTTTGCTGTTTTTGCTCCCCAGGGGCAGGAGGTGTCCTGTCCCTAAATTCATTTATTTATTATTTAAATAAATGCCCGTGGGGTTTTCCTGGGTGTTTTACTTAGCCGATAAGTAGAATTTTGATGTGGTTTTTTCCTATAAGTCCAATAAATGTTATCGATTTGATTCTGTTTATTTATTTCATTGATTAATTGAATTTTTGCTGGTTTTGCTCCCCAGGGGCAGGAGGTGTCCTGTGGGCACATCCTGACCTGTGCTGGGCTCCACTCCGACCGCCTGGCGCGGATCAGCGGCTGCAGCCCCCAGCCCAGGATCGTCCCTTTCCGGGGGGATTACCTGCTGCTAAAACCTGAAAAGTCTTATTTGGTGAAAGGAAATATTTATCCAGTGAGTGCCCCTGCTCTGTGTGCCCTGAGAGCTGCTCAAATGCAGGAAAAAGGGAAAATTCTGTTTGTTTCTGTCAGGCAGTGACGCACACACGTGGGTGGAGATTGGGCTGGTTTGGGACAGGACAGTTGGGTTTTGTTCATTTTTTGTTCATTTTTTGTTCATTTTTTGTTCATTTTTTTTGGTTAATTGAGGAAAACATGGAAGTACCAAATAGCAAGTTATTGCCAGTTGTTTTGTTTATGCTTTTATTTTTGGGGTTTTTCTACTTAACAGAGAAAAGATGGAATATCACATTGCCACATATCCAGAAAACTGTAAATTATTTCTATGTGTCCTAATATGAATCTGTAGTGAGGGAGAGGTGACAGTAAATTATTATTTATTATTCAATAATTATAACAGTCCTGTTTAATCTCTTTATTGATAATCTGGACAAAGGGGTTGAAGGTACCCTCAGGAGATTCACAGGTGGCACTGGAGGTTTTCCCAACCCCAGTGATTCTGGGATAAATTATTGATCAAGGGTTTCATCTTTTGTGCCAATACCCAGCACTCAGATTTAGGTATTCTCCTCTTAACCTTATTTTTGAATTAGCTGATTTTGTCATTAAAAATAGATGTGGGTGAAAAGAAAACAACCTTTCTACACCTAATATAGAGAAATAATGGGATGAAGAGCAACAATCCCAGACAGAAAATGAATCCCAGATCAAGTGGAGAGAATTGCTAGGGCAGCATTTTATCCAATTCTGTCCATTTAAATACTGATTTTCTGAATATGAGATTGGCTTTGCATGCTGAACACTGGATCTTTGGGAAAACTGGAATGCTGGGCATTGCTGTTTGTCTGATCTCACCTGGGAATGATTCGGGACCCTGTCTTGGGATGGGAGGAAGTGGAACAAAAAAAGAACATGCAGATTTATTATTATTAGCATTATTAGCATTATTATTAGCATTAACCTGCTAAGTTCAGGCTGCTCTGTACACACAGTAAGGGTTTTTAATATTTTGTATTTTTCATTGCTGCTGGTGAATCACATCAGGGTGTTGTTGGTTTATATCCTGAGAAATCATGTGGACTTTTTCTCCCCCCTGTCATTTGTTTTCCTTTTCCCTAAAATTCAGCTTTACCTGGCCCTGCTGTGTTCTCCAGTGCTTTAATTAATGCCATGCCACAACTGCACGATTAACCAGCAACAAAACCAGCTCAGAGCCAGTGCTGAGCTTCTGAGACTCACAGTTTTGTTGCTGTGGTGGGAAATAAAATGGGAAATTTGCTGTTTGTAGGAGCTCTGCTCACTGCTGTCCCATTGCAGGTCCCCAACCCTCGTTTCCCATTCCTGGGGTTCCACTTCACTCCCAGGATGGATGGCAGTGTCTGGCTTGGCCCTAATGCAGTGCTGGCCTTTAAGAGAGAGGGCTACAAACTCCTGGACTTCAGCCCTGGGGACTTCTTAGACGCTGTCACCTACAGGTAATGATGCCTTGTGTCTGTGTCTGTGTCTGCTCTCGGTGAGCTGTGAGCCATGGGAGCCCCTTCCTGCCCAAATCCTGCTTCCCCCACCTTTTTGGGGTGTTTGTGCTGATGAGGGTGAACTTCCCCAAGACATTTGGCTTTGTGTGGTCTCATATTTGGGTTTTGTGCCAGGACATGTCTCAGCCAGTCTGGGAATGTGGCTGCTCCCTGGAAGGTGCTGCTGCACTGTGATAACCTAATCAACTCAGACAGCACCATGAAATACCTGCACAGGGTGCTGGGGGGAGAGAAGGGCTGGGACAGAGAGTTGGGAATGTTCCCCTGGGGAGGAGAAGGCTCCAGGGAGAGCTCAGAGCCTAAAAGGGCTCCAGGAGAGCTGCAGAGGGACTGGGGACAAGGCATGGAGGGACAGGAGCCAGGGAATGGCTCCCAGTGCCAGAGGGCAGGGATGGATGGGGGATTGGGAATTGGGAATTCCTGGCTGGGCTGGAATTGCCAGAGCAGCTGTGGCTGCCCCTGGATCCCTGGCAGTGCCCAAGGCCAGGCTGGATGGGTTTGGACACCCTGGGACAGTGGGAGGTGTCCCTGCCCAGGTTGCTCCAAGCCCATCAGGTCCTGGAACACCTCCAGGACTGGAATTCAGAATTCATTCAGCACCACAGCTCTGTGAGCAAGGTTTGGTGGAGCAGAGAAGGACAAACATTCATTTCTCAAACACAGAGCATGATGTGTTCCTGATTTTGGCAGTGGGAATTGTGCCCTGCAGTTGCATTTGCTGCCTCCTGCAGCTGCAGCTGGTGCATTTGAGGCAGGTTTTCCCCCAGTGCAGCTGTTTCTCCCTTTTGTCCACAGTGGGCTGTGGAAGCTGGTGCTGAGGAACGTGTCCTACGGCCTGGGGGAGCTGTACAGAGCCTTCAACCTCAGTGCCCAGGTCAGGCAGCTGCAGAGGTTCATCCCTGAGGTCACCACCAATGATGTCCTCAGGTAAAGGAAGCTGCTTCTCTTGGGAAATCTGTTTGAAAAGCGGAAAACATGGCAGGGGTTTAGTCCCTTCCTCCACCAAAATGTGATACAGAAGCTTGGGGGTCCCAGCACAGGGAGGTCCTGGAGCTCCTCACTCCAGAGGAGGCACCAGGATGATCTGGAGCAGCTCTGCTGGGAGGAAAGGCTGAGAATTTTGGGATTGTTCAGCCTGGAGAAGAGCAGCTCTGGGTTGGCCTCACTGTGGCCTTGCAGTACTCGAGGAGAACCCACAGAAAGATGGAGAGGGAGGGGCAGGACAAGGGGAATGGCCTCAAACTGGGAGGGCAGGGTTGGGTGGGAGATTGGGAAGGAATTCCTGGCTGGGAGGGTGGGCAGGGGCTGGGATGGAGTTCCCAGAGCAGCTGTGGCTGCCCCTGGATCCCTGGCAGTGCCCAAGGCCAGGCTGGACATTGGGGCTGGGAGCAGCCTGGGGCAGTGGGAGGTGTCCCTGCCATGGTAGGGGTGGCACTGGATGGGCTTTAAGGTCACAGTTTGGCCACCTCAATGATCCCATGACTCTCAGATACCCCCACTCTGCCTCTTGAGTGTTAAAATTCCCCCGAAATGCTTTGTCTGCACTCCCTGCCCTCCTCACTGTCTCCCACCTCCTCACAGGAATTCCTTCCCTGACTCAGAACATTTTCCTCCTGCTCCTCCTTGCTTTCACAGGGGTCCCTCAGGGGTGAGAGCCCAGGCCCTGGACAGTGAGGGCAATCTGGTGGATGACTTTGTGTTTGACGGGGGCTCGGGGCCCGTGGGCAGCAGGATCCTGCACGTCAGGAACGCTCCCTCCCCTGCGGCCACCTCCTCCCTGGCCATCGCCGCCGCCATCGCCGACGAGGCGCAGCGCCGCTTCCAGCTCTGAGCCAGCAGGAATGCTGGCAGGAGCCCAGCAGGAACCCTGCAGGAGCCCAGCAGGAACCCTGCCTGCTGCCCCTCTGACGCCTGGCACTGCCCCTGAGGGACACACAGCCACCAGGCAGCGTTCTGTGCCCGCTCTGTGCCCGCTCTGTGGTGAGAAAGGTTTGGCCATGGAGCAGCCGTGGCAGGCTCTGCAGCACAGGCACAGCAGGCTGGGATCCCTCTGTGTGTGTGCTGGGATCCCTCTGTGTGTGTGCTGGGATCCCTGTGTGTGTGCTGGGATCCCTCCCTGTGCTGGGATCCCTGTGTGTGTGCTGGGATCCCTCCCTGTGCTGGGATCCCTGTGTGTGTGCTGGGATCCCTGTGTGTGTGCTGGGATCCCTCTGTGTGCTGGGATCCCTCTGTGTGTGTGCTGGGATCCCTCTGTGTGTGTGCTGGGATCCCTGTGTGTGTGCTGGGATCCCTGTGTGTGTGCTGGGATCCCTCCCTGTGCTGGGATCCCTGTGTGTGTGCTGGGATCCCTGTGTGTGTGCTGGGATCCCTCTGTGTGTGCTGGGATCCCTGTGTGTGCTGGGATCCCTGTGTGTGTGCTGGGATCCCTGTGTGTGTGCTGGGATCCCTGTGTGTGTGCTGGGATCCCTCTGTGTGTGCTGGGATCCCTGTGTGTGCTGGGATCCCTCTGTGTGTGCTGGGATCCCTGTGTGTGCTGGGATCCCTCTGTGTGTGTGCTGGGATCCCTGTGTGTGTGCTGGGATCCCTGTGTGTGTGCTGGGATCCCTCTGTGTGTGTGCTGGGATCCCTGTGTGTGCTGGGATCCCTCTGTGTGTGCTGGGATCCCTCCCTGTGCTGGGATCCCTGTGTGTGTGCTGGGATCCCTCTGTGTGTGTGCTGGGATCCCTGTGTGTGTGCTGGGATCCCTCCCTGTGCTGGGATCCCTCCCTGTGCTGGGATTTTCCTCCAGGATTTGCCATGGCTGTGCTCACAGCGCTGCCTCCTCTGAGAAGCCTGACAAGCCACGGGCATGGTGGCTCTGATGCCACTGAGATTGGGTGTGCAGCCCTCTGGGTGGCATGGAGGTAATGGAACAGGAGGATAAACCCTGCTGATGTGGGATTAAAGGCTTTGGCAGAGATTGAGAACAATATTCAGAGCCTTCAGCCTCAATGTAGAGTATTTCACAGAAAAATAAGCTTCAAGAGGATTACCAAAGCCAAGTCAATTCAGATCTGCAATTCAGATACTCTGTCTGATCACTGGCTGTGCTTTTTATAAAGCAGAAATCAGAACATGGATACAAACAATCACTTTTCATTTCATTTCCAGCTGGGAAATCAGCACTGATCAGAAACTCCATCAGTGCCTTTGGGTTTCTTCCTTTGGGTGCTGATGATGCAAAGGGAGCTGATCTTTGTGCAGCCCCTTGAGCAATCCAGGGAAATGGTCTTTGGAGCAGGAAATGGGAAATGGGAAGGGAGGGAAGCTCCAGAAAAACCTGCCCTGAGTCATGGTTGGGGTTGCTTCCCTTGGAGCCCAAGCAGGGATGAGTCAGGGACATTTCCCATTTTCCCTGAGCACAGGGGAGAGCTGAGGCAAACTCAGGGCTGGGCTCAGCATCTGGGAGTGTCCTGCAGAATTCTGTGTGGCCTCAGGGACAAAGGATTGAGGATTTAATAACAGCTGCTGGGTAGCACAGACAATTGTGGGCAGTTTGCACCAGAAAATTGGACATTAATTTTTTAAATTTTAATAATAATTAAGATTTTAACATTATTTTTATTTTCATTATTATAATTATTTAAATTTAATTTAATATAATTATTTAATTCAATTAAAATTAATTTTTATTTTTAATAATAATTAAATTGGACATGAATTAATTTAATTAATTGAGAAAATAACTTTAAAAGTTCTTTTCTGAGCTCCTCTGATGGGAGTGGGTTAGCACAGGAGGGCAGCTGTGAGGCTGATTTTATTGTACAGATTGGAGACACTTTTTGAGGGGAAAAAGGGCTTAATCTGCCATTATTATTATTAATAATAATAATAATAATAATTATTATTATTATTATTATTATTAAATAAAATAAACAAATATAATATAATAATAATAATAATAATAATAATGATAAATAATTTTTTCCCCCTGGTAAAATCTAGTTTACCAGCAAATTGCCTGCTGGAAATTCAAGCACCAACCCTTCAGAGCAGAGTTTTGGTCACTTCTGGCAGAGATTCCAAGCGTTCCAGTGCCACAGGGCTGGGTAAAGCTTCCCACAGTGGCACAATCCTGTTTTCCCTCCCTGCCACAAGTGTTGCCCATCAAGAGCAAATCCCACAGAAGGATTGCAAAAGCCACTTCCTCCCACACGGGGTGTGCCCTGACATGCATGGACGGAATAAAGAACACGAAAATGCAAAGCAGAGAGCAGGGGCAGTGCTGAGTCAGCATTTCCCTGCGCTCTGCTTTCTCCTCTCAGGTGATGATTGTTTGGGGGGGAAAAGTTTATCTGAAATTTAAATTATGAACCTTGAGGTAGCATTCTGTGAAATGGAAATCTCTTCAGAGATAAAAGTTGTACACTTTTGTTATAAAAATAAGTTCAGAGATTATGATGTCAGGCTTTCAGGCATCAATCTTGTTGCTCACAAAGTGTGAAAATCATTTATTTTCCAAATGAGCCTCACTTTGATGATTTCATAAATGTGCCTTTTGTGATTAAAATGGTGTGGTGGGGTTTTTTAAATGCTGTAAAATCTGTGTATTTCTCCTGGCTCAAAGAGTTCCACTGGAATTTGTTAATTCGCAGCTGAGCTGGGCAGGATCTCACTCTGGGTAACAGGAATCACTTCAGGAGGGGACTCATGACCAAACTTGTCTTCCTCACTCACCTCCCTGGACAGGACTGCTCTGCTCTGGGCCTGTTGGCACAGGTGGCATGAGAATTCTCCAGCTCTGAAGAAATATTTGCACGAACACCAAATATTGTGGTTTGTTCCCCTGAAGTGTCACAGAACCAGAACCCCAGGCTGGATTGGGTTGGAAAGAAATAAATCCCATCCCAAGGACCCTTCCACCATCCCAGGGTGCTCCAAGCTCTGCCCAGGGAATTCCTTCCCAATATCCCAATATCCCACCCCAACAGTGCCCAGCAAGGTCAATCCTGAATTCTGGGAGGAGGAGGAATTGTGAGTTGTGCCACCATTATCCCATCCTTATTTTCCTTTTTGCTCACAGTTTGGGTTTGAGGAACAAGTGTAAAATAGGAATAAATAGAAACAATATAAATACAGAAATAGATATTTTAGATATATAGATAGAATATAAATAAAATTTTTGTTAGGAACCTCCCAGGCTGCTCTGGGAGGTTCCCAACAAAATATTTATTTATATTCTATCTATATATCTAAATTATAGATATTTTAGATATCTAGGTGGGGCAGTTTCTGCCTCTGGATGCATCAGCCTCCTCTAGGAAATCTTACAAAGAAGGATCACCATTTTACTATCAAGAAGGTACATTTGAAATTAAACCAATTTGGTTTAATTTACCCAGGAAGGCACATTTTCCCCCCTTTGGTTTAATTTACCCAGGAAGGCACATTTTTCCCCCTTTGGTTTAATTTATCCATTCCCTCTGTGGACAAATCTTAAAAAATGGTGAGTGGAGGGAATATAAATTCTAAGATTTGAATATTATGCTGTCAGGAGGGAAATGAGGGAAAATTTAGCTGGGTTTGGGTGATGAGTGGGTGAAGGGAATGGGGAATGGTGTTCTCTGGAGCAGGGAGGGAACTGCTTCAAAAAAGGGGGAGAAACTCCTTCAGGTGTGGAGAGAAACTGCTGGCAGGTGGGAAAACATCCTCCAGAGAGGGAGGAAACTGCCTCGAGGTTGGAATGGGAATTGCCTCCAGGTTGGGATAAGAACATTCTCCATCTGGGGAGGAAAACAGCTCCAGGGTGTGAGAAAAACTGCCTCGAGGCAGGGAGAAGAGTTTACAGAAAACAGGGTCCAAGTAAGGAGAGAAATTCCTTCCAGGCAATAAACCAGTCTCTAAATAGGGAGGGAAATGCCTCCAAACAGGGAGCAGAACAGAGTTCAGGTAAGGATGGGAAGAGCCTTCAGAAAAACTGCTTCCAGGCAGGGAAATATCATCTGGGAGGGAAATATCCCCTAGGCAGGGAAATCTCCTCTAGGTAGAGAATTATCATTTGGGCAGGGAAATAGCTTCTAGGTAGGGAAATATCCTCCAGGTAGGGAAAAATCATTGGGGCAAGGAAATATCCCCCAGGTAAGGAAATATCATCTGGGAGGGAAATATCCTTTAGGAAGGGAAATATCCTCTAGGTAGAGAAATATCATTTGGGCAGGGAAATATCCTCCAGGTAGGTAAATCTCCTTTTGGCAAGGAAATATTCCCTAGGTAAGGAAATATCATCTGGGAGGGAAATATCCTCTAGGTAGGGAAACATCGGCTGGGTACGCAAAAATCTCCTTTGGGGAGGGAAATCTCCTTTAGGAAGGGAAATATCCTCTAGACAGGGAAATATCATTTGGGCAGGGAAATGTCCTCTAGGTAGGGAAATATCCTCCAGGTAAGAAAACATCCCTTAGGTAAGGAAACATCCCCTCGGTAAGGAAATAGCCTTTAAATAAGGAAACATCTCCTCCATAAGGAAACATTCCCTCAGTAAGGAAACATCCCCTAGGTAAAGAAGTCTCCCCTAGTGAAGGAATTATCCCCCAGCTCAGGAGCTCTCCCCCGGTTCAGGAATTATTTCCCCCATTTAAGGAGCTCTCCCTCAGTTGAGGAATTATCCCCCAGTTGAGGAACTCTCTCCTCAGTAAGGAATTACACCCCAGTGCGGAGCTCTCGCTCGGTTCGGGAGCTCTCCTTCAGTTCAGGAATTATCCCCTAGTTCAGGAACTGTCCCCCAGTTCGGGAGCTCTTCCCCCGGTTCAGGAGCTATACCCCGGTTCAGGAATTACCCCTAGTTCAGGAATTATCCCCCAGTTTCGG